AAATTCGATTAAAGGGCGATAACTTCTGACTGGAAGTGATTTATCAAAAACGGAAGTGCCGGAATTAACTTCAGATAAAGACCCATCAACCCTGAAAATTTGATACAAATTGAACAAGCCATCTCCTAGAAATCTTCTGCACAAAATTTGTAAAGAAAAAAAAGAATAATAAAAGTGAAAAAGAAACAATAGAATAATAGAAGGGTCTTCTGCTGAAGACGGAAGACCCTAATAATTTTAAAGCTGCCTTATTTATGATCATTGCATACAGTGTTCCAGTTAATTGTTAATATAACAGAAAACAGTTGTATCTACTGCCCATAGTAGATGTCTACCGAAAAAAGTCGTGTTGTCCAGAGAAGTTCTGCTGAATATAAACAATGTACATTGTAATACGATGAGTTTATTTTTCTTCAGAATTGTCATTAAAGTAGATTTGTGTGACCGTCATGTAACTTAATATCAACTACACTTAAGTCAATTGCATATGGTTCGATTTGAATTTTTGAGAATTGCCATACTTTATTATATATCCAAATATCAGTATCACTCAATTTTACAATTGATTTCACGCAATATTTGACGGTGTGATCTGACTACACTGGTTTACTCCTTTCATTCAGCAAACCTCGGCTGATTCCGTCACCTTCATCAAACCTCGGCTGTACGAAGAAACTTGATATGCGTCTCCGCTTAACATTTGTGATAAGGCTGCCTGTTTACCGCTTAGGGAAAACGTAACGCTTTGAAAACGATAATAAATATGCATCTGATATACGATAAAAATTTTCAAAAGCATTTAGGTATCACTAAGAAGAACACTAACCATGAAAAATGCACTTCGTATCTTTACATAATCACATGTTTGTTAACGGATCGAATTCAGCACACTGTGCACGTGTATATGTAGGGCGCAGCCATATTGGGTATAAAGTAGCTCCGGTTCAATGGAGATTTACATGATACAGCCGAGGTTTGATGAGGTACGAATCGGCCGAGGTGTGCCGAGTGTTACTCCTTTCTGAAACTGATGACGTAGTACACAGTATACATGACGTTTTTTTTTTCTTGGGTACCAAAAAGTTCCTCAAAATTTTGTTGGTTGGATAAAAGTTGTATTTAGAATAAATTGATACCATTTTTTTTTATTTTATTATAATTTGCGAATTATAGAGGGGTATATAATAAATTTATCATTATTCGCGTCGAGTTTCATAGGATGATTCTCGCCTGTCAACTCTACGTGATGCGGCTCTTCGGATCAAGTTACTGTTGAAATCAAATTATACATCGTTCTAGTTAATTGGCATTGTACGGAATTATAAATCCATCACCTTCATATACTGTTGTCCTTCCACAATCGATCTAAAAAAAGAATTAGCCTCAATTCTTTATAAACCCCCTCCTTTTTTATTCTATCTATTAATTTTAGCAAAAATAGCTCGTGAGTGAACTAAATGAATATTGATCGCAATTTGGCGTCAAGGAGTGTAATCCGTGCTTTGCTTTATTTGAAATAGATAGTATTCTCTTATTTTCGTCAATGTAATCGTATCGTGTAATAAGTAAGACGAAGTTGTCTCATCCTTCTGCCAACAAAGAAGAAGTGCGCTAAGTGCATTCGGTGACCTTTGGAGAAGAAACAAGTTGGCTATAGGCCTTACATCCATAAGGGTCATCTGGGTACATATCTTTGCCGACTAGCCCAAACTCTTGGACCCTTATTAAAACTGGCTTATTAATGCGATCAATGTCATATATAAGTTGTACATATATGTGTTCTGGAGGAATTTTTTTAACATTTGCCCCCCCCCCCCGGAAAAATGTGTATTCTCTTTTCTTTCACAGCTGCAAAGCGTTACGACCTGGTAAACTTGGTACTTTTTCAATATCGGTCCATTAAAAGAGTTGTGAGAACTTAGGAGTTTTAAGTGTTCCAGTGTTGGAAACTCTAGGCTTATTAGTCTAGCATGCAAAGCATTTGTACATAAGGTGTTATTATTTTTGCAACCAAATGAATATGCAAATTTCAGTTATAAGCAAGAAGTTTCTTGAAAGATGATAAAGTCATACGAACATAAAAAAGTCAAGTTTTTTAAAGTCTACGAAGAATATGCCTTCTCCGTAAGCATTTAATTAGAAAAAGAAATGTCACTCTCTCAATCAAATCTTTAAGAAGGTTTTGCATTTATGGGGATAGTCCAGTGAAACTCCAGACAAATTTGAAGCAATTAGATATTTTCTTAAATAAGTTAAACCTATTTATGTCGAACCCGATGGGACCGAGGAAAAACTAATTTGGACAAATCTAAATAAATATAAATCCACTCCGGTTATCTAAGTGGATCCTTATTTAGTATTCAGAAGGCACACAATACGTCACTGATATAGAGGTTAAAATACATAAAGAAAAAGTGGTTGGGGTTTATAACTTCGATGTTTCCATGGTTTTCGAGATATCGACGTTCGAGATAACGAATTGCATCTGTAAACATATGATTTTCACAGAACATTCAAAGTGCGGATTTCTAAGAACCACTATCAATTGTCATATAAGAATTTTAATATTGTAAAACTTCGGTAAATCAGTTTTCGTTTTAAAAAAAATGATGAAAGTTTTACTACATATGAACAAATAAAAAAACTAAAGTGAAATAAAATCAGAAGTTTCTGAGGAGACAGTAGCACTACCTGTCTGTACTTATATTAAAAGAAAAGAAAAGTAGCACACAGGCTTCAAACACTTATTTGTTTTACATGAACAGAGTGTATCCAGATATCTTCTACTAAGTTTTGTTGCAATAAAACAACTACAAGAGACGTAGCACTTGTGTCGCTTTTTTTTTGGGGGGGGGGGGGGGGAAATGAACCAAGACTCGAGGAAGTATAGCGTTTTGACACAATTTCATGGTAATACTGATCGTAAATTGAAATTCCATAACCGATACATAGAATTATGTATATTAGTGTGCGTTACCAATTTACTAACTACATGTGTAAGTCTAATTAAAATGAGACAAAAGCCGTCGGAAGAGTAGAGTTGAAAAAATAATTCAAAGAAATTTTTATATTGGTATTTATGACAACACTGTTCATCACAAAAAAAGATATAAAAAATTATGTATCGTAATTTATTATTGTATTCCAAGTTTTAGGGAGATCATACTAAAACCGTAAAAGTTTGAAAGACTTTCACAAAATTTCTATTTAAGTAAGAAAGTCGTTTGATGAAAAAAACCCCAATATTTTTGTGTAATTTGCTTTTGTCCCAAATTGAAGGAGAGTAGTAGCATTATAAAAAATGTTTACAAATAAGGTCATCCCATAATATCTTTTGTTCCTTGATTGAATGTGTGTTGTTTTATGTCCCATTCGAGAATTTTTCACCCATATAGAGACGTCACCATATACCGATGAAGGGCTTCAAATTTTTACCTATACTCGGCATTCAGAGCCATTGAGCGGTGATCATGAGAGTTCTTTATCTTACCAAAGCCTACCGTGACCTCATTTTTTAGGTCTTCTACGAAAACCCCATTACTTTCACTTCTAATGCCTGGCGCAGGAACAGTCACTACTACGTTTACGTCTAAGGTCTGTTGGCCTCCCAATTAAGAATCAACGCCCTACGTAATTTTTGGTATTTGACAACTAGAGCTATTGAAAAAGAATCTCAGTCATGTAAAATATATTTTTTTAAATAAAATTCTGAACGATCTCAAGCTTCTACTACGTACACAAAACACTGTTTAAAGACGCATGGGACGTATTTATGGAATCCTAGTAAGAGGTCGGCTTTGTTTTAGAACGGGAAATTTAGTATATTCATACATTTTTCCTTTTGGGTCGGGTAGTTGTTCAAAATTATTTCTGGGTACTTAGTAAGTTTGAAACCATATGAAAATACGCACCTAAATAAACCGCCTATTCCCTTTTCCGCCTTTTGTCATTTCTATTCCAATTACTTATGCCCAAAGCTCATGATGTTGGAATGTAATACACGTACTTAAATATTATTCCTATTATATTGCTGTTTACTGGGGCTCTTTCTGGATAATCTAAATCCATTATTTAAAATCATACTGGCTTAAAACACTTCTGTTGTTCATGGCATCTTGAGCTGACATCTTGTCATGAACAACAGCAAGGGTTAACAGAAATCGGCACAGAAGTACTTGTTTTCCTACTCCACTGTTTACTGAAATGTCGATACAGCCACTATAACGGCGAGGGGTCAACGGTTTATGTAAGGAAATTAGACTAAAAATGAGTATTATAGGAGAAAAACAGACCTTCATCTTTATCTAATCATTGTTGATTATCACAAGTCAAAATTCATTTCCGAGTAATTAAAAAAAATCAATGCTTTTGCACGCAAAATATAGCGAGGTATGTACAATCGAGCTTTGTTAATCCGGACGCTTGCGTTTCCGAACAAAAATCGTCCGGATTAATTAAGCATCAAGGTAACTGTAACTTACTTTTCATAATTTTTAGATATGTTCCCCAAAATTGTCGGCCGGAAGGAAAAGAGTCCTGGTTATGGATATTCAAATTAGAAGGTTTGACTGTATTTGTATAGATGTGCATAAAACGAAGTTATTGGAAGAAAAGTTTAACTGCTGGTTAATAGTTTTCGCTCACACCTTTGTACGAAGCGTTACAGGCTTTCAGAGAATTTTAAGTTTCTGTTTGCAAAAAAGATGACAGAAACAATAAAACCAAATTATAACAGCTGACATTTACCACACTTTTTTTTTGTTACCAAATAGTTGAAGTTAGTTACAGGTTGCAAAGTAAAGACATTTCAACTTTTAGTAATAAATGTCATAATCAACGAATTTATTCACCCCTCAGACTGAATAACTATCCATATACGTATTGAGAAATAGCGAAACATTGCTTTCTGACTCTCTAACATCCACATTTCTGACAAGTAAAGGTGATATATAATTAAAAGGTTTTATTTTACATGTGGGTTTTTCTTTTTCAACTTTCAGTGGCATCTCTCGTTTCGAGCATTCTCTCGTTGACCTTGGTGGCATGTGACCGGTTCTTTGGAATAGTTTACGCCATGAAAGCTCACATCATAGAAAGAAAAGCAAAACCAGTGATTATAGCAATATGGGTAATTTCGGCAGCAGTAGCATTACCTATGTTAATATACAGAAGAGTACACGAAAGACATTGGAAAAATCACGTTGAAAAATGGTGTGATGACGTAGAATGGTGGATAGACTTAGGGAATGGAGAATCCCATTATCATCGGCCAGCCCGAGTAGCATACTGGACATGTGTCTCCGTCATTCTCTTCTTTCTTCCCATCATCGCAATGGTTGGGGCATATTGTGGAATAATAAAAACACTATGGTCAACTAAAATACCAGGGGAGCGGGTTTACAAAGAAAATATGGTGCAAACAAAAATGAAAAGAAAGGTAACATGACATTGACAATTTAATATTCTCGTTCAGATTTTTGCCGTTTAAAGTTATGACCGCTCAAAACTAACAAGCTCCAGAATTTCGAATTGATACACTTATGACGTTAAATACGATTCCATGCAACAAACTCCTTGATCTTTTTTTTCTCTACATGTACTATTAAAATATATGGCATGTCAAACGTTGCAATATTCGATCTTTTCCATTTGTATTGTATAACTTTCCATTTGTATTGTATAATTTTTATTTGTATTGTATAATTTTTCATTTGTATTGTATAATTTTCCATTTGTATTGTATAATTTTTATTTGTATTCTATAATTTTCCATTTGGATTTTATAATTTTCCATTTTGATTGTATAATGTTTATTTGTATTCTATATTTTCCATTTGTGTTGTAAAAAAATCATTTGTATTGTATAATTTTTCATTTGTATTCTATATTTTCCATTTGCATTGTATAATTTCTTATTAGTATTGTATAATTTCTTATTTGTATGCGATAATTTTTCATTTGTATTGTATCCGAGGATTGTTTATTTATTTCGTTACGAAGGATGTCATTGGTCATAAAATTTAGTCTGTATAAAGGTGCCCATCACAAACTTAGTCTGGTATCCTTCCCACAATTCCGATCGCGCACTCTCTACAAACACAAACTCGGCTCCTCTATTTGCGGTGCATACTAAGGGACGACCATTTGATTCTCGGGGGGTGTCGAATCCGATTATTTATTTTCATTCTCTCGCAGGAGAGAATATTTATTTGGAATATGACCAGAGACAAGGAGAAAAACAAAAAAAAAAGAAAATCCGCCCAAACCCGAAAACTCAGTTTTTTGGGGGTGGGGGTAGTTACCACCACTCAAGGTCAATTTATTTATTTTCTCAGTCAGCATTTCTAAGGACAGATTATTTATTTGCCATCTACCAGCGCTCCCTTTTTAGAATCCAATGACCGTCTAACATGCACGCAAGTACATATGCCGCCGAAATATGGCTGAAATATTGCCGACTCGGCGTTAAACAATAATCAATCAATCAAGCAAGCAAATACATATGAGCCCAGTTTGCTTTGAGCATCCGGAACATCTTCAACCCGATACAGGCTGAAACTTGACCAATGAAATCCTTCGTAACGAAACAAATAAACAGTCCGCGGATACAATACAAATGAAAAATTATCGCATACAAATAAGAAATTTTACAATGCAAATGGAAAATTATACAATACAAATAAAAATTATACAATACAAATGAAAATTATACAATACAAATAGAAAATCATAGAATACAAATAAAAATTATACAAATGAAAAATTATACAATACAAATAGAAAATTATACAATACGAATAAAAATTATACAATACAAATGGAAAATTATACAATGCAAATGGAAAAGATCGAATATTGCAACGTTTGACATGCCATAAAAATAAAGGATCACTAGTGATTTAAACAAGGTGTAATCGCATATATAATGTACATGATAATTGTTTGCGAAAAGGTCTTCCCTGCATGTTTTCATTTATTTAATCTAAAGGAGACCTAACATCGATAAACCATTGATTACGTGCAGTTACTTCTGGAAATAATTGATTCAATTTCTATATCAATGAATAATTTACATAAATCTTTCGCTAACAGGAGGTACATTTATTAGTTGTTGTTTTTTTTTTTTTGTTAGACTGAAGTCTATTTATATGTAAACTTCTGACCAGTGTTTACATGTAGCATATCAATGAAATAATTAATCTTTCAAATATCACATTTTCTTCTGGTTTCGCGCCAGCAGTGTACATGGCGCATCATAGCGTATTTTTTCTATTAAACAGGTGATAATTATGCTGATAGTTATTTTGGCGGTATTCGCTCTCTGTTGGTGCCCATTACAGATCACCATTTTATATTCTGAATACAGAGGAAACCACACTGAGCGGGTGAGTTCGTACAGATACAGCTGTATATTTGACACCAAACACGAATTAATTTAGAATACGAACGTAAAGTTAGAATTACCATATTACTTGTTCTTGGATTTGTTTTACAAGAAACGTACAGTTACCTTTTAATAGGGCAAGTAAGCTCTTTCATATTCTCTGTGTGTAAATATCAGATAATTATTAATTAATCGTTTATATTATTGATATCCTCTGGGTAAGCTGTGTATTTTGTATTTACGAGAATCATTTTGAAGCTTACTCGCAACTTTTCAAAGACTGAAATATACGAAATTTATACTATCAGCGGATATAACTGAAAAGAGCAGATTACATGTACAGGTACATTCTACTATTTCCACTAAACTTCTGCATCAGGCATGGGTATTAACTATAAAGATATATTTGGACTTTCTCAATTTCGGAATACTTTAGGTATTTTAGGTATTATATACAATACTAACTAAAAAAAATCTTTTAAGGCGGGTCTTGCAAAATCACTTATTATAATTTCATTTAAGGATGTTGGATCCTGCCATCAAAAGTAATGAGAATTTTTTATCAAGTATATTTTTAGAATCTACACACATAGCTTGATTAAAAACCAAAACAAAAATGGGGGTTAATACTACATAGCATTTAGTTTGACGTTTTGCACTGTAAATACGTCTTGCACATAAATCAATTTTTAAAAGTTTTTCCTCCAATATTTTTATTCAGATAAATAATGGGAACACAAACACAATTTTATTTCATCTTGAATAGACACATTAAAATTTGTACTAACAAAAATTTTTCAAATTGCTTCGCATGCTCAATTATTTGACCTTTTTGCACTCAAAAAATCTTTTTTTCTGGCATGAAATATTTATCAAGCAATAAAATCATTTGAAAGTAATGACATTTTACTGAATTTAAGAAGAATGGTTAAAAGTGTTTTATATATTCAGAAAAGAAAATTAAAAATGGGGATCTGTGATGTTAATTTTTAGATATTACTAAAATAGTGCTAATTTTAAGCTTAAATTAGGGCTATTTTTTTCTGGATTTTCACAATGATATATATATTTGCTATATTTATCAAATATGATGATAGAATTTATGATAGTTTATTTAATAAATAATTTAGGACCAGCATAAAACAGTTCACGGCACAGAATAACTCCTTGTGCAGGCTGCATGGAAAAATAGGAATCCAAAATTAACATACGTTGAATACCTTGAAAGAGAAAAAATAAGCATTTTCTTCTAAAAAAAACCTTCCGCCACAAAATATAGTTCCTCACTTAATGTTTTTGGTATGGAATTTAATCTTGGGAGTTTTAACTGAATATAGTTTAATTAGTATTGTAGAATCTAAATTTATTATAAGAACTAAAACTTTATACAGAATTTTTGAAATATAGGTTAAGACAAAAATCTGCTCAAAAGCTCAGGAGCGAACCTAGTCAAAGGGACATAGACACAGATTTGAAGTCAATATTGTCTCAAATTTTCTGTATAATGAACACACCCGGTGAAACGTTAACATTAACAATAACAGAGTTCGTGATCTGTTTACAAAACAGTTTACATTCCACCGGGTGTGTTCAATTTGTTAAACTCTGAACACATCACTGAGCAAGGACTGACAATACTGGTGAGTTGGTTTTGCTTTCTCTCATTTCTACTCTGATTTTTCTGGATTATATCTTTATTTCTTTTCATAAATACACAACAAAATTTCTACTTTTCTTAATTATTAAGGATAAAGTCTACTTTGTGAAAGTGGAAGGATGTGTCAATCAAACGCGTCCCAAAATTCGTAGTTTCAATAATTTCCATATAAAATAAGTTTTTTTTTAATTATATTTCCGTGTGGAATGCTATAGCAACATATATGTCATGATATAATGCAGAAAATTTGAGAAAATATTAACTTCAAATCTGTGTTTATGCCCCTTTAATAGAAACTCCTTTTGGAAAATGAAAGATGCAATTACTATCAATTGTGACTTGACAGCAGTGCCGAAATTAAAATTCAGGCAATAAAGTAAAAACTTGACAAAAAATTATAATTTTTGATCATTGAATTGAGTTTTCGAATTCCCGAAAGGATCATTCTCGAGAACCTAGATTGAAATCAAATGTTATAATATATGTAATAATATGCTGATGCCCAAATTGCTCATGACCTAAAAATGTATAACAATGTTGAGTCAAGTTTCTTGCTCAAAAGTAAAAGTTACTGTGTTTGAGCCATTACTTCGGTATCTCCAACCAGAGATATAATGCATATAAAGTTTGATTGATTGATTGTGGAGGTGTACTGATAATGTTGGGTATTTTGACCCCACAATACCGAAGATTTTTAACAGATTTAACAACATGGTTTTTGAAGGTCATGTGTGACAAAACATTAAGTAAACTGTGGTTTTTGAAATCTTGGGAGGGGAGCTGTGGAGCATCACTGCACTACAAAAGTGGTGAGATTTCCATCTGTCTGTCCATCTGTCTGTGCAAACGTGTCCGGTCCATATCTTTCTTACAAAGGAACATTAGAATCTACTACTTCACACAAAGATTGTTCATGACCTGAAGGTGTTTCAAGACCTTGACCCAAGGTCATTTTGCAAGTTCAAGGTCACTGAAAGAAAAAAGTTAATTCGTGTCTGGTCCATATGGATAAACTTCGTGAGTTCCCATTTTACATAAAGATTGTTCATGACCTGAGGGTGTGTCATCACCAAGGTCTGTGACAGAAAAAGTTCATAATTCGTGTCCGATCCGTATCTTTCTTACGGAGAATAATGTTGGGATGTTGGGAGTTTCCACTTCACTTAAAGATTGCTTATGACCTGAGGGTGTGTCATGATCTTGACCTATAGTCACTGTAGAAAAAATGAATAAATAGTGCATCCATACTTTCCAATAGTGAAATACTTGAAAATTTGTTATTTATTTTTTCAATGTAATAAAAAACAATATTATTATTTGTATTCATGTTTTATGAGGCTGCGTCTTAGTTTCATTCTTTAAAAAATACAATGAGCAGTTACTGGTAAATCTTTCACTCTAAATGTTACACCTCTTAGATCCATCAAATACTAGTTTTATTTAAAGGGATTGGACACAGTTGCATTGCCGTATTTGTTTTATAATTTTAAATTTCTATTTTTATTCCAAAAATAACATCAGTTTAACAAATTGAACTTAGATGAAAAGGCTTAAAATTCAAAGACAAAACATTCTTAACATCATATCAAACATCAAACCTGTGTTTGATATCATATATCAAACCTGTGTTTGTAAACATGGACACGAGCACTGTTATTGTTAATGTTTACGTTTTGCCATGTGTGTTCAATTTATTTACTCTGAACACGTCACTGAACACGGACTGACAATACTGGTTGAGTTGGTTGTGCTTTCTCACCTTTCTAATCTAAATTTTCTTGATTATAACTTTTAATAATTTTAATTTATACGAAACAAATCTTCCACTTTCCTTAAATATTTTAGATAAATTTACTTCTTGAGAGTGCAAGGATGTGTGCCAATCAAACGCTACCCGAAATTCGTAGATTTAATAATTTCCAGATAAAAGAAGTTTCTAAACACACTTTTAAAAAAGAAATTTTGAAATGCTCTAGCAACAAATAAGTCATTGTATTGTATTGAAAATTTTTAGAAAATATTAACTTCAGATCTGTGTCCAGGCCCCTTTAAACAAGATCTTTGATGTAAGGAAGAAACCACAAACCATCTCCGACGTGCAAACAGTTCTGAGTTTAGCTGCAATGATTGACTGAAGGCCTTCTAAGTTTGTACGGAAGTGAAAATGATATAGTAAAGTCATATCTTTTATCTAACAGCAAAAACTTTATAATTTCAAGTTCTATACAGTGGTGACTCGTTTATGCGGACGTCAATAATCCGGACGCTTCACCTCTCTGACAGAACATTTCTTATTCATATATACCAATTATAAAAAGTATCCCAGACACTTTTTTTTATTTAGAAGAATTGCTTTGGAGCACAAGCACACAGATCAACAAGACTGATTTTGACTACGTAACCCAGTTTCAATATAAACTAGTCATAAACTAGTCATTTAGAACTTTAAAAAAACAATATTGGCAATTTGTAAATCACTATATCTCAACAAATTATTTGAAGCCAAGCTTAATACTTCGCATAGATAATGCTTAGAGTTATGTTATGACAGTAGTATCAAATATTTTTTTTAGCCTGCTTTTGGAAGATTTGGTCTATACAAATTGTTCAAGTTAATTATTCAAATTGGCTTGGTGCCATATTTAAAGAAATGTTTGCCAGTGGCGGATTTAAGGGGGGGGGGGGGCGCCCCCGGCCCTAAATTTGTCAAAGTTAGCGTAATTCATAGATTCGTAGGGAAAATGTGAAAATGTCTAATCGGTAAACCTCATTTTTACCCTACAAAATCTCTAGAATACAGGAGCTTCGCCCTGGACCCACTGGGGGCCTCAAGGCGGCCCTCAGACCCCGGCCTACTTTTTGCGCCCCTTCTAACTTTAATTCCTACATCTGCTCCTGTCTGCCTTTTGACATGTTGCATATTTGATTACATGTATGAGAAATGTTAGTTTAAGGAGAATTACTTTGAAATACCTTGAAGAAAATACAAAATTAATTTTGAGTGAAATAAATCAAATGTGATCTTTACTATTTTGAAGGAGAAAGTTTTTCGCTTTTTCAGTTACAGTTAAGTAATGTTATTGCCAACCATATTTCATCAAGATATAATAACCTACTATTTTGACAATGCTGCATGGTTTTCTGCAGGGCAGACTGGTACTTAATGAACTTTGACAATCAGCAGTATGGATTGGGGTGGGGTGGGGGATATAGGGACAAAAGCAGCCTCTGTAAAATTTACCAAGTACCTATATCTACCATTATAGATATTATATTTGTGGTATCTTTATTTTCATTACCTTATTCTAAGACTATACTGAATGCTTTTGTTTATATATTGCAATTCCAGAAAAAAACATTTATTTTCACACTCATGACTAAGGATAAAAATGTATGTACATGTATTTTGTAATTTAATGGAACAACAGCAGGTGGTGAGAAGCGAGTTGCCACTCGCTTTGTTTCCCTTTCTTCTCTCTTTTCTATAAGATTGTTTTCAGTGGAATCATTTATCCTTGCTGTGAGAGAAAGGGATTCGACTCATTGACAGAGCTGAGAAAGCTGTCATTATTTTCTGCGCCAATTAGGTCTGTTGTAACTTAATGAACTATGCGTCTCTAGTATAATATTAGTGCGAAAATCGCCATGTCACGGCCCAGATCGATCCTGTTTAAGGTCACTTCCTTTAACAGTATCTGTATAACCTTGCGGAGTTACTGACTACTAACTTGATATGATTTTATTTGTTCAAAATCCAGAGTTAAGACTTTCATAACGATATACTTGGCATGTCAAATGGTCAGATACAGATTGCCTCATTTCTGACCCGATGACGCTGACATTTGACCTAGTTTAAAAATAATGATTTTGACCTACATTTCTAACCTATGTCTCAAAAAGTAAAGTGTCCAGGTTATGTTGTCGCCGAACCTTTTATAAAGTTCAGATGTTTCTCGCGTACCCCGTAGCCTAGATCTCAAGTCATTTCGAACCGTTAATGCACACTATATCTTTATCGCAGGACACTTTAAGATACATGTAAGCTGTAGCTCTCTGATAAATAATACAGACCTCAAGAGAGCTATATAAAGATTCTATTGCAAAACTTGGATTTACGCCGTCGTTTTTGGTCGCAAGTTCGGGTACTATTTCTGGTTTTATATGCATTTTCTCCACCTAAAGCATGGTATCTGTCAATAAGGATAATAAGGATATACATGTATTTTACTCCTGCTGTTTTTACTCTACCTTTCATCGGTTTGAATGGCCTATGAAGCCTTGGAATGCCACTGTTTCAAAAACTTCGCCTATTGACAGCCATTTGTTACAGTCATACTAAAATACAGATGCTTGGGAAAATACATGTAAGTCTGCCGAGAAAATCAATAAACTCTTCGTTTTATTTATCTAATTTCTTCCTTCTTAAATTACAACTAACTTTTATAGACGAGTTTATATTTGACCAACAAATAATCAAAACTATATCTCGGCACTTATACTTTCCATTGCATGCCTATTTTAGTATAACTCCAAAATGGCCAAGTTTCTGCCATGAAACTAGATGCCTTTAAAAGATTTTTAAATGTTTCTATTTTTTTTTTTTCAGCTTGAAGAATGGTATATACATTTGGAATTTTCTGCCAGATTACTAGCATTTTCAAATAGTGCATTTAATCCCCTAATATATGCCGGCTTTAATGAAAACTTCAGAAAAGGTGGGTATCATTGTTGCTTGTACTGCATCTTTATTACCTGAATCTGATTATATTTTCATTTTTATGAATTAATAGTGCTGCTTTTTTTCACTCTAAATATTTTTTTCTCTGCTTATTTTTTTTTTTACTACACCTCGCATGTATACGTACCATCATTGCTTTAAAATATGTATTATTTACAAAAATAGGCGTAGAGGAATACAAGCGAGTCATTAATTACGGATACCCACGTTTTTCATTAAATGTGTACTTCAAACAATAAGAACGATTTCCCCCATACGGCTTTCATTCACAATTCTCAGCAGTGTGATTGTTAAGTGCGAGTGTTTTAATTTGTTATTACTGATTTTGTTTTGAAGTGTTTTTGGTCGCACTGAGAAACTAATTGTGTTCTATTTGCAAACCTTTTAGGAGACATAAGTATATACGAAAACTATTATGATCAGATGAAAAATTATTCTCTATTAATAGAAACTGGTAAAACTTTACAAATGCAATCTCAAATAATTAATACAGACAAGGATGATGATAATGAAGGCGAGGGAAATGGGATAACTCAGACTGCTGTAAATCTTTACTTTCAGTTTTATTTTCTGTACTTGTATTTATTCAGGTTACAATTCAACAGTATGGATGAAAACTTGGAAGTTAAAAATTCAAGACAATAGTTAGAACGTTAAAAACTACGGGAGTTAATTTGTCAATTGGAATACAGGCTCACAGATATTAAAATTTTCATACCAATTCAAGCATGTATAAATATGAATCTTTAAACAATTCCAAAATTACAAAGAGCTCTTTAACAAAATATTAGTTTAGAATGCATATACCATATTCTCTCTGGCGAAGGTGCAAGTACAAAAATATAGTATATACGGAAATTGTATGTTTTACATATGCTTATTACTACACGACAATGTTCCAAACCAAATTAAGGTTATTTGCGCCTGAAACAAGATGTGTTTGTGAAACGCTGATGCCCCCGTATGGCAGCTCATGGCGATTATTAAAGTTTCTCAAGTCAAAGTCAAATTCCAAGATCAAGTAATACATCTGTGAAATATGAATGCTCTATCCATCATCAATTCAAAAGTTATGGCCAAGGTGAATGTTTTTCAAAAGTAGATCAACCTCAAAGGTCAAAATTGAAGGTACCTAGTGGAAGGATATGACAACCCTAGCACTAACAGTTCAAATGTTAAGGCCAAGGTTAAAGTTCTTGAAAAGGAAGACAAACTCAAATGTCAAGGTCATAATTGTCCGTCTTATCAAAAGAAACACACCTGTTTAATATGAAAGTCCTAGCACCAACCATTCAAAATTGATAGCCAAGGTTAAAATTTTTCAAAAGTGAGTCAAACTCCAAGGTCAATATTGTTGGTACACAAAGGAAGAATACTCTTGTGTTATATGAAAGCCCTTGTTCCAACCATTCAAAACTTATAACCAAGGTTTAAATTTTTCAAAAATGTGTCAAACGCCAAGGTCAAGATCAAAAAAGTATGTATAAACAAAGAAAGGTCTTATCACAAGGAATACCATGTGAAGTTTGAAAGCCCTAGTATTAAACGATCAAAAGTTTTGACCAAGGTTAAAAGTTTGGTTAAAATAAATTAAAAATAGGTCAAACGTCAAGGTCAAATATGTTGGTATCCAAAGAAAGATCTTGTCACAAGGAGTACACATGTGAAATATAAAAGCTCCAACCAATCAAAAGGTATTGGCATGGTTAAAGTTTTTGCGGACAAACAGAAGGACGAACAGAGCAAAAACTATTTATCTCCTCGAACCTTCGATTACGGGGGCATAAAAATACAAATTTCACCAAAATTATAGTTTTTTCTCTTTGTTTTCCCTAATAGGTAAATTCACGCTCCCTGCGTCTATGCTTCAAACCCTAGAGTGGGGATTAATTGAACCTTCCCTTTCCCTGTGGATTCCATTCAAGACATTGCTTTGCGATTTGCGCAATGTGTAGCCGATCCTTCCCCATTTTCTCTTCCTGACGTCTGTCGACGATGTTGATGGATTTTGGTTGATATCTTCCAGAGACTGTTGTTTGATATACTGATGGTCAACCAGATTTTGATACATCTTTTGACGAAAGTCTGGAGTTTGTACATATAAATTATTGCTAATGTCATCTCAGAATATGGAATTTTCATCCGTTGCATTTATGTAGTACTTCACAGGCTTTTTCCTTTCTGCAATTTGTAGAACACGTATGCCCTTATATCGACTAGTGAATGATACATAAGAGTCGAAATCAAAAGTTCAATGTCTGACAAAAAAACTAAGTTTACATATTTTTCATCAAAACTCGCTGTTCCCTTCAAAACTTGTTAACAAATATTAGTATTTAATTTTATAACACTAAATAACACGTTCCTTTTATTTATTCATCAAAATGATCACCTGAAGTACCAATTTCCAGAGGATGTTAAACAGGGGCTATTATTATTGTTAATTGATTGATTGATATTGTATGGTGTTTTACTACCCATTCGAGGATTTTTCACTCATATAGAGATGTCACCATATACCGGTAAAGGGCTTCAAATTTTGACCTTTACCCGGTACTCGGGGCCATTGAGCAGTCAGGGATCTTTATCGTGCCAATGCTTGCCGTGACACGGGGCCTCGGTTTTTAAGGTCTCATCCGAAGGATCTGCAACTTTCACTTCAAAGTGCCGAGCGCATGGCGAAGGGACAGTTGCTACCCATTTTTTATCGACTTCGATTTGAACTCTCGACCTCCCCGATCATGGAGCGAGCGCTCTACCGACTGAGCTACCGTGAACGGTCATTATTACTAATACCGATAACAAGATTAAACCAGATCGCAGATACTTAAAACATAGATATTACATTACATAAAGTCTCAAACACCATGAATTCGAAATTTTTGTTATTATCTATGTCAGACTTCAAAAAATTTTGGGCGGTGTGTATCCCATGTTCCTAGGTGATTGATGATGATTACAGAACCAAAACTGTAAATGTTCACATCAGACCAGTTCCAGTTCCAAGCGGGGTTAAAAAGTCATAGCGTGAGAAATCCATGATGTGACTGTTACTGCCCATGGGCCTTTTGTCAATAAAAAAAACGTTACGAATTATACGTTATACATTGACTGCACCTCTACCCTAAAACTATGTGGTTTGAATTACTTTAAAATACACTTGATTCAAAAGTTAAAAACCCAAACAAAAGGGAATAAACTTTATTTCTTAATGTTCTCCTTTGTGGATTGTGGTTATGATGGAAACATATAATTTAATGCTTGTATGAATGTTACTAGCATGCTTGTTAACATCACTATGCACTATCTCGATATAAAACCCTCTTGGTAAATCATCTACATCACGAATTTCTACATCCGACTATTTGATCAAATTCCAATTTACTATAAATGATATGACACTTCAGGAAAAATTTTGTTTTTCTCTTGTCCGTCTCGATATTTAGAGTAATGAGGAGCGTTCCCTCTGACGATGTGATAAATTACATGCTGTAGAATCAATAAAGCGAAAAGGAAATTAGATAGTCAACAAATCCTCTCATTAACCTGATATTAAACAAGCTTCCTTTTTGAAATTTAAAGATGTCGGGTGGTTCAAATGTAATTAACAGAGCATGATGATCCAATGTAAATTTAAGAGACCGAAAAAAAACTCAAGAATTGTGTCCTGTTTAATGTAGGCATCAACATTATTTTGACAGGTCTCTTCAATCTTTTGGGTTGTTACAAAAAGATTCGTTGGACACCAGTTAATCGCATGGACTCCTTTAGAAGTACAACTTTCAATTCTACAAAGTCAGAGCATCTAGATTTGTAAGTTCGCGATTTTATAAATGCATGGAATGGCTCCAGTTTATGTTTGCTTTTATGTAACTATAGATAGTTTATTACGTGTATCTTATTTTAATATTTGCCAATGATTAATTTCGCTTAGAATACTCAGTACTTGTTTACTGAAGTTGATTATCACATTTGCTATCTGTATTGTATACATCTACTTTTCTGATCGATCGGTTAGTATATGTATTTGCGTTGGCATGGTTATTTAATTCGATTGATTCGAAAAAAAAAAAAATCAAATCTCAAACCCTCATATCTAATTCTTACATGATCGAAATTTTATGTTCGTCTAACTAGCTTGTTACCTGCTTTTAGCCACTGTTTCCGATTGTATGTACACTAATTTGATGCTTGTAGCCATCTATCTGGTGAGTTTTTCCTATGCATAACAAGCACTTTTTTACAGATCTGTTGGGAAATATATTTCAGTTATCAGCTATCACATAAACACAAAAATATGCTTTCAATTTTGTGCAAGGAGCTCGGTAAATATCAGAGCGTAAATGAATTCAAAGCCCATCTCAGCCTGGAAGTGTAACTGAGGCTTAAATGAATAATCTTCAGTCTTAAAAGAAAAAAATGAACCTCTCTTAAATGAAATAAATGACATAAACTATTAAAATCAAATTCATGTATATTTTACAGCAGTTACAAGTAGTCACATCCCAAAGCTAGCTTATTAAAGATAGTTATAAAAATATTCGCTACTGATGCCAAAATTTGTCTTTCATTAATTAGTTGCAGAACAAATTAGATTGTGCATAAACAACAAAACGTTTTCGCTTGATCGAGTCCAAAATTTTGTACTTAGTTATTGTTAATTCCTATTTATGCAATATACTATCATGCATTTTGACCTGTATGCTCGCTAATTCAGGAATGCATTGAAGCTTTACAAGAGAGTTGAAACAGCATATCCTTCCTTATCTAACCGTATGTTTTCGCTCTCTTTCTTTTTTTCTTGTCATTTTTTCCTACCTTCATGCTTTTTTTCGGATCAGCAAAATGAACGGTTGGTTACGATCAAGATAAAAGATCTGCACAGTTTACGATTGAAATGTCAGTACCGAATCTGTATACGACTGATTTGCTATTTCATTTGGCAGCAGTCCCTGACAGCATTATTTTGTTAATATTCTTGTCCCAGAGAATTAAACTTGCTGCTCAATCAACCAATCTCTTGACGAAGAAAGTAGGGAAGTTCTTTTTGTTGTTGTTTTTGTTTCAAAAATGCTCTTTTAACTTCGATCTTTTTGTTGCATAATAGTGTTTATCGGTCGATCATTAACATTCACTGATTGGAAGGTACCCACTAATCTCCAAATTTATCTCAAAATTGAGAACTTTGGGATTCAAATTTTTTCTCCCGATTTTTCAAAGTTCTTATAGATATTCGTTTGTGATATTAATGTCATTTCAATGATTTATATTATATTTGATGAGCCTTTCAACCAAAGCTTTGCGGAGATTAACCGGGGAAGAATAAAGAGTCAGATGAAAAAGATGTAACAATCAAAATTAATGGGGCAATTTGATAAGGCTCATCATCTTCGAGCTTCGTTAAAGCGTCATTTTGAGGTTTAAAACCAACCAATTCAAAGCCGGGGCAATAGCTCGTGCTGTTTTACACAAAATTAACAGGATATAAAAACTAGACTTTTTTTCTAATATGATTTTAATGCATATCCATCGTAAGTATATTTTCTGTTACTTTGTGGTACGGTAATTACGAGTGTATATTATGAACGGTAATTAGACCCAGACTTGCTTGTTCTGAAGTATAGAAAATATTTATTTATTACTAAAACTATGAATATAATTAGCGTATTTCTTTGCAGAATTAACCGCCATTATTTTTCTAAAGAAAGCCTTGAGCGCCCAACGTCAAAAGCGTTACATTCCATGTAGAGAGACAAGGCGAAGCACGACCACTGTGACATTCAACGCCATACAGGCCGAGGATGTCTTGTAACTCAGACGCACTGTGTATTTATTCATTAATACATGTTTTATTGTTGTTTATTGTATGATTTTATGTAATGGAGCAAAATTGTGAATAATTTACGTTGTTCAATAAAGGGCAAAGCGCAGCAACTGGATTTTGCTTTCATACATATGTAATCGGCGTTGGAAAGTTTCTGGGTGAGGTGGCTCATGACTCTTCTCTGTCTTTTTCCACAGTATAGCTTTTTTAATTTTTACCACCTCTGAAACGTTGCATGGTTACTAGTTTTCCTTGTTTACTTGAGTTCCTTTTAACTTGAAAATCCTTACGAATTTTTTATCAAATATATTTTTAGAACTTATACACATATCTTCATTAAAAATCAAAACAAACAAGATGTGTTTGTGAAACACTATGCCCCCGTATGGCAGCTTATGTCGAAGGTTAAAGTTTCTCAAATGAAAGTCAAAATCCAGGCCAAAAGATAAAAAATGTTGATACCCAAAGAAAGATCTTGTCTCGAGGAAAACACCTGTGGAATTTGAAAGACCTAGATACAATTCAAAAGTTATGGTGAAGGTTAAAGTTTTTTAAATAAAAGTCAAACGTCAAGGTCAAGGTCAAAGTGGTTGGTATCCAAAGGAAGATCTCGTCACAAGGATTACATATGTGAAGTATGAAAGCCCTAGCACCAACCATTCAAAAGTTATGGCCAAGGTTAAAGTTTTTCAAAAGTAGGTCAAACTCCTAGTTCAAGGTCAAAGGGTCAAAGTGGTTGGTATCCAAAGGAAGGTCTTGTCACAAGGATTACATATGTGAAGTATGAAAGCCCTAGCATCAACCATTCAAAAGTTATGGCCAAGGTTAAAGTTTTTCAAAAGTAGGTCAAACTCCTAGGTCAAGGTCAAAAGGTCAAAGTCGTTGGTATTCAAAGGAAGGTCTTGTCACAAGGATTACATATGTGAAGTATGAAAGCCCTAGCTCCAACCATTCAAAAGTTATGGCCAAGGTTAAAGTTTTTCAAAAGTAGGTCAAACTCCTAGGTCAAGGTCAAAAGGGTCAAAGTGGTTGATATCCAGAGGAAGGTCTTGTCACAAGGAATACACCTGTGAAGTCTGAAACCCTAAGCACCAACTGTTCAAAAGTTATGGCCAAGGTTAAAGTTTTTCAAAAGTAGGTCAAAGTCTAAGGTCAAAGTGGTTGGTATTCAAAAGAAGGCCTTGTCACAAAGAATACACATGTGAAGTTTGAAACCCCAAGCTCCAACTGTTCAGAAGTTATGGCCAAGGTTAAAGTCTCATGAAATTTTGCAAAAGTGGGTGAAACTCCAAGGTCAAGGTCAAAAGGTCAAATATGATGGTATCCAAAGAAATGTCTTGTCACAAGGAATACACATGTGAAATATGAAAGTCATAGCTCCAACCAATCAAAAGTTATGGGCAAGGTTAAAGTTGACAACAGACAAACAGACAAACAAACAGACAGACAGGACAAAAACAATATACCCCCGGGATCTTTCGATCCGGGGGCATAAAAATGGGGGTCAATGCGCTTCTTTTGGCGCTACAGAGCATTTAGTTTGACCTTTTTGCACTGTGAATACATCTTACACATAAATCAATTTTTAAAGTTTCTACTCCAGTAATTTTTGTTCAAATAAATAATGGGACAAAAACAGTCTTATTTCATCTTAAATAGACACATTAAAATTTGTGACAACGAAGAAATTTTCAAATTACTCCGCATGTTCAATTATTTGACCTTTTTGCACTCAAACATTTTCATTTTTCTGGCATTAAAAATTTAACAAGCAAAAAAATTATTTGAAAGTAATGACATTTTTAGTCAGCCGACGGGCTGACTAGTTACGGTGGGATGAAACTGCAAGTGCGCTTGCGTAATTTGGAATTCTGGGAAAAAGATTTACACGACTTGTTCTAAAGAAACTCGTACTATTTGCTCCAACCAGAGGGCGTGCTTCTTCACGCACACTCTAGACCTCGATCTATTTATAGACTGCATTGTGCTTCGTTGTTCTCGGCGAAAAATTAAAGACATAGATTGTTCTTAGTGGGAAATTTGTACGGTTTTATATACTTCTATGAAAATATTTCAGTGCTTCTTATAAAAGATAAGAAGTTTATATATGTAGAGCACATTTAACACTTGATTATATATCCTCAATCGCCCGTTGCAAGTCAAGGATTTGTGACTTTGTGTGTATTCCCCTGGATGTCTGATGCAAGACTCCCTCGATCAATACCTTGCATAAGACATGTACGGGTCGAAATTCACACAATAATCCACTTGCCACAAAGGTCTCAAAACAGTGAAAAATGATGAAAGTTATGAAAATATCAGAAGACTACTGTATGACAGTAAATTCTTATAATTTACATGATGATAGACGTGTAAGTGCCGCTTGTGCACGTGAACCGCGCCGAAAGGTGAAATAATGACCACATAAAACTGCGATAGTTGAGAGAAACTGCGCGGATTTAGACAGCCCCCCCCCCCCCCCACGGGAAAGAGTGAGAGAGATTGAAACCAGTATGTTAATCTAGTTTTGTTTTGATGCTAGACATCATTAGTTACATTTTTGGGTATACGTACTGCATGTATAAAAATATTTTGAATTTCCCGTTTGAATTGTTTTCCATGGCTTTCACTACCTTATTCTGGAAGCAATTCTTTTCTTTCTTAATAACACTAAAATGGATGCTTAAACTAAGAAATTGATTTAAAACTACATGCACTATGCACCCCCCCCCCCCCCCATCATGCATTGCCTGGAACCTGCACGATTAAAAACTTTTATTTGATAATAATTAAAACAAGCTAACCCAAAGTCTACCTTCTTTTTTGTATCATAATCTATATCATTTATAGAATTTAACAATGAAAATGAACGAGGGTTGTGAAAAACGCGACCTTTTTAAATATTTCATAAACTATCTGACCAAAATTATTCTTTTTTGGCATAAAGTTGGGAAATTATATTTTTGTAATTTAGGCTAAATATAATAAGGTTTCAATGCCATTTGCATTTTTAAACATCGTTTAAAGGGTATTAAATATTGGTGGCCGGCGCACGGCAATTTCTTGACATTCAAAAATAGCATTGACAGCAATGTTTTCTTTACTACCAGGCTATACGGGTATATAATGTGACAAAAATTATATCCTTAGAAACTTTATGATCTAGAGTACTCGTGTGTAAAAAAAAAAATCAATACTCTGACTTCATAATTAACAACAAAAATATGACGTTATATTCACAAACACTATTAATTAGATATTGCCAAAAACGGCGATGTCGAGCGGTAATGCGGCGCACCAAATTATCACTCTGTGTTGTGTGGAGCGGGGTTTGACTCCTGTTCATACGGAAAAAGAGCTGGGAACGAGGGAACGACACAAATGCATGTATCGATCACAGGTTCGTACATAGTAAAAGAGGTTCATATATGAATGAACTAGTTATCCGATGGAAGAAGCGTTTGGTTGACCAACAAAAAGGACGATAAACTGAAAAGGCTAGAGCTGGACGTCATGCATGGAGACCACCGTTAAGTATTCGAGCAGTTAGGTTTATGATCGGGGTTGGGAAATTGTTTATTAAAAGAATTTATTCCTTGATTTATTCTTAACTGCAGAACACGTGTGAAATGGATAACTCGGTAACTAAAAGAAAATAAAATGCACTATCGAATTTATGCATGAACGATTTTTTAAAGACGCACTATTCCTGAACAAATTCAAAAACTCCAAGAATTACGTTTTGACGTCGTCGGTGTTGCGCCGGCAGCTGTTTTGAATGATTCCTTTACCAAAGAAAAAAATGTTATTTATGGATATTATTTACTGAAATTTCTGTGAATTATTTCAAAAATGTTGATTTTAATGCATGCCAATTTTTAACTTTAAAATATTAGTGAAACAAAAAATATTGAAAATGTTTGCGTTTTTTTTTTTGGGACAACCCTCGTATACATCTGTCAAAGTTCAATGATTGGGCTCTTACTGGCTTTGTTCATTTCTGAGACGAACTTTCTCTGACGTCCGCGCCCAAGAGAAATTAATTGGAGGTCATCATAATGATCACGATGTAGTCTAACTAAAATTTATTCCATGCTTTATTATTTATTATGTACAACATTGCGAATTTAATGTAGATTACAATGAATTTTAAGAATCACAACATGATGAATAAAACAAGTCATATACCATCACAAAGCATGAAAGAAACTTTCTATATTCCAGTGGCTGACTCTCAGCTTTTTTTTAAAAAGCTAACCTTGTACTGAATTTAAGAAGAATTGTTAAAGGTATCGTATATATTCAGAAAAGAAAATCAAAAGTGGGGGTCTGTGATGTTAATTTTTAGATATTACTAAAACAGTGCTAATTTTAAGCTTAAATTAGGGCTATTTTTTTCTTCATGTTCACAATATATTTGCAATATTTATCATATATGATGATAGAATTCATGACAGTTTATTTAATAGATAATTTAGGACCAATATAAAACAGTCCACTGCACAAAATAACTATGTGTGCAGACTGCATGTAAAAATAGAAATCCAAACTTAGCATACTTTAAATACTTCGAAAGAGAAAAAATGATCATTTTCTTCTAAAAAAAAAACCTTCCGCCACAAAATATAGTTCCTCACTTAATGCTTTTAGTATGGAATTTAATCATGGAGTTTTAACTGAATATAGTTAAATTGGCATTGTAGAATCCAAATTTATTGTAAGAATTAAAACATTATGCAGAATTTTTTAAATATAAGTTAAGATAAAAATTTGCTCAAAAGCGAACCTCGTTAATGCAGGAATTAACGGTGGCAAATATATTGCAGAAAACTATAAATGTTTCAAAACATTCCCCCATGTAGCAATATGAAAAAAAGGGAAAACTTTACATTTATAATGTCTCTAATGATTGTAAGAACCATTGGTCATCTACTAGTTTGATCTCTATTGTACCTAAATATAATTAGGATTAATTTAGAGGGAAGTTACAGTGTACTTCTTAGATGGTACCAGTTTACCAAATTTGATGCCAGTAAAGGAAATACATGTAGTTCTAAAGATAACGAGTTGACAGTATATTCTTATGTTTAGCATCTATGTTGCTTGACCCTTGCCTTTTGAAGTTTGTGACTACAAAATAACGGGTCATCTCCTCCCTAGGGAACCATTGCACATACTTTCATGTCTGTCACGCAAAGAGTTTTCAAGATATTGAGCGATCAATTTTTCCTATGTCCAGTTTGTCCCTTGACCTTTGTTCTTGTGACCTCAAAACAATAAAGGTCATATATTCCTTGGGGGAATCAATGTACCATGTTTGATGTTGCCAAGCAAAGTGTTCTCATAATATTTTCCTATGTCTAGAATTAGCCGACCCTTGGCCTTTGAACTCGTGACTTCAAATTTTTACAGTGGTCAACAACTGCGTAGAGGAAACTAGTGTCTGACAAGCAAAGATTCTAAGGACATTGAGTGGTCAGTGTCATCCCATGTCCAGTTTGATTTTGACCTTGTGACCTTGGAATCAATAGAAGTTTCCTCATCCTTAACAGGAATCGGTGTACTAAGTTTTATGTATGTCAAGCAAAGGGTTCTCATGCTACTGCGTGGTCAGTATCTTCCTATGTCTAGAGTTAGTTTGACTTTTGACTTTGTGACCTCAAAATCTAAAGTCATCTACTCACGATGGGAAACAAGTGCCTTACGTTTCATGTCTGTCAAGCAAAGGTTCTAAAGTCATTGAATGGTCAGTGTCTTCCCATGCCAAGTTTGATTTTGACCTTGTGACTTCAATGTACCAAGTTTGATGTCTTTCAAGCAAAGGGTTCTCAAGATACTGGGTGGTCAATATCTTCCTCTGTCCGGTTTGACTTGACCTTGTGGCCTCAAATCAATAAGGTCAGTTCTAGAAGGGAATCAGTGTATTAAGTATGCTGTCTGTCAAGCCAAGGGGCTCTTAGGATATTGAGTGGTCAGTATATTTCTACATCCAGTTTGACCTTTGACCTTGTGACCTAAAAATTTACTTTTATTTGAAATAAAAATTTACATTTATTTACTCCTAAATGGAAACAAAGTTTGATGCCTGTCAAGCAAAGAGTTCTAAAGATAATGAGTGGTCAATTATATCTTTTTATGCTCAGTGTGATCTCTGACCATTGACCTTGTGATCTCAAAATTAGAAGGTATTTACTTTTTAAGAGGAACCGATGTACCAAGTTTTATGTCTGTCAAGCAAAGTGTTCTCAAGATATTGAATGGACAGGATCTCCCTATGTGTTGTTAATCTGACCCTTGACCTTGTAACCTCAGAATCAATAGGGGTCATCTGCTCTTCAGGAAGTACCAGTGTACCAAGTTTGATGTCTGTCAAGCAAAAAGTTCTCAAGATAATAGACGGCCAACACTAATTAGTCTACGGACCGACAGAAAGATAGATCAAAGGGGGCATAAAAAAAAACAAAACCCGTGTAATTTTTTTCTGCATTGGTTGCAACCGTTAATTCCGTATTAACAAACAGAAATTTTATTGTTTTTATTTATGTCTGTATAAATAATCGTACAAGGTGGGTTTAAGTTCGTAAAATTTGTATTATTGATCTGTACGTAATATTTTTCATTCATGGAAGAGCCCAGTGCTTCAGAAATCATTTATACAGGTGTCATTGAAAAACCGACTTTTACTACTCGATTGATTACGGGAAGTGTTTTCCGTAAGAAATAATATTTAAAACTAAGAAGTTCAGTACAGTAAGTAATAATCATTGTTTTCTCTATACATTTTATCTTCATTAATTCAAATTTGAATATAAGTAATACATTTAGGCACGCTTTTTAAATGCTAGGTTCCATTCAACATCTGTATTATTATGCAATGCAAACTAACAAAACAAAATGGAATTTATTAACATTTACAACAAGGAAACCATAGTAGGTATGAAATAAAATAATTTCCCCAAAGTAAAAAAACAATATTTTGTATTGGAAAGCTGTGCATGATATAAATTATCCTATGCAAATTATAACGATTTGTGAAATCTTGTGACATAAATTGTAGATGACAAGTTATAGGTTGATTTATTTCACATTTTCATTCAGGTTTCTCTGAGCATATTGAATAATGAGAATAGAGAAAGAGAATTAGAAGTTATGGAATCTGTTTCACTCATGGGTAGTATTTAAGTTTTAGATTTTCACGAGTTCAAAGCACAAGTGAAACTATTTTTAAAAAAATCTTATCTTGATTTTAAATTTAATTCCATATCCAAATATAGTACAATGAATGTCTATTATTATAAATCCCCCCCTCCCCCTCCGTGAACTGTTTCTTCATTGAACTTTAAAACCATATTGCTTGGTCAGTATGGGTCTATAAATTGTAACAAAAGACAAAGAACTCATTAGCTTTTAACAATTAAACAACTAAACATTTTAGGGCAATTTTAAAATTAGGTCACATGAGTGACTCAGGTGACCTATTGCTATCTGTTTTTGTCCGGTGTTGTGCGTCGGTCGTAAACTTGAAAATCTGTGATCCTGGGTGTTAAGCAAACAAACCAAGCTATGATGAGCAAGGGTGCCTCTTTCATAATTTTGAATTTCATGGCCCTTGGGTCAGGGGTTCTTGTGTAGAGCGGGGCACCATTAATTATATAGTAAAAATGCAGTACTAGTAATTGTTAAAAAATCTTCTCTGCTCTTAGGTATTTAGCAGATGAACCAAGTGCATAATTATGATGAGCAACGATGGCTATTCCAGAATTGTGAAAATTGAGACGCCTGGTCAGGGATTTAGATTGGGGTGTCTTTTGAATATATGTTGAAAATTGAATTTCATTATTTCTTTGAAAGTCTTCTTCTCTGCCCCTTGGTATTTAACAGTCAAACTAATTGCATGGTCATGATGAGCAGGGATGCCTTTTTTAAAAAAAGTTTGAAATTCGTAACTCCTGGATCATGTGTTTTGGTGTTAGCGTGGGATTCTTTTGAATATGAAGTCTTTCTTTGAAAATGTTCTCTGTTCCTGGATATTTAGCTATAATATATTAAGTGTATGATTATGATGAGCATGGTACCTCTTTCAAAATTGTGAATTTCTTAGCCCTGGGTCAAGTGCTTTGGTGTCAGGGTGGGACTATGTGGAATGTATAGTGAAAATGCATTATTTCTTTGAAAATCTCTGCTCCGCGGCATTTAGGCGGAAAACAGAGTACGAAGTTGCAATAAGCAAGGGTATTTCTACAATATTTTTGAAATTCTGGTGCACCACTTGGTCAGTTTATTAATTTGTATTCTACTGAAAGAAGTTATTCCCCTTTGCTATTCACCTATGATAATTAACTACTGTAAATAATATAATTGAAATGTTAATTCATTAACAGATTACACAAGACGTTAATACAAAAAGTACCTTCATAGTTTTAATGGTCATGTAGACTTGCAAATAATAGATAAATAAAAATTGGACAAAAATACCTCATCTTTGTACATTCAATGTTCTTCGAGGACCGAGAGAGGCCTATGTGAGAGGGAATGAGATGGGTTTACTAATAGTGCTCAATAACTGTTGTTTTGTTTAGTCCGCAAATGGGGACAAGTACGGGTAAGTAAATAGATTAACTTTAAGATTTATTACGGAGTACTAAATTAATTACTGTATTTTGCTGATCCCTGGTCTTCCCATTCCTCTTGGTTTTGGGCAACAAACCTTCATTTATCAACTTAGTTTGTTTTATTTTATACTTCAATTTATGGATCCTTAACAATGCTACATTATACTCAGGTGACTGTTAAGGCCCTTGGGTCTCTTGTTTAAAAACATTTTACATTTCCTAAAAATTAACCACTTATATTCTGGGATGAATATTGCAGGCGAAGAAAGAAGATGATTTTACACGATTTTTTACACGTATATTTACAATAAAATGAAATTTGAGAAACGTCAGCTGTTCAGGTCAATGTCAGGATATTTTAATCACTGTTATTATTTTCGCTTAAACACTTTTCCTAGAGTGTAGCAAAATGATTGTTATTTTGACTTATTATCTGTCACAGACCATGTCCGAAGGTTTGAAAGGCATTTTCTGATTTCAAAGCAATTAAAAACAAACAAAACAAGAGAAACAAATTTATTTTTTACAGTGTATTATTTGTCACGGCAAAATTATGTTTAAAAAACGATTCAAAAACTGTAATTAGAGACAGAGAAATCAGTGCTATAGATTAAAGTTTCATCATTATCACAGTTTCGGGAAAAAAGAATGCAATAGGGATAGTCATCCTGAAAAAAAAACTCGAAACACAAGGATTGAAAAGCTACCAACACTCTATATTTTCATAGTTTATATTTAATGTGTGATGTCCCTCACACTTTAAACAAAGAATGACAATATAATCATGGTTTTAACATGTGTTATAATCTTTTTACATTAGGGATGGGGTCGTTTATAGAATTACATTTTTGTAACCGGTGTCATTGTGGATGAACTCTGATATGTATCCTCACCATCTACTTTAGATAATGTCGTGTAACGCTTCTTCTTGTAGCATCCGAACATCTGTTTAAAGCCTGCAAAAACGAAGAAGTAATTGATTAAGGAGAAACAGTATCTCGTTTTCTTCATCAGTGTTCATTCTTAAGCCTAATGTGGGTGGAACATCTGTCAGAAAATGAACCATCTGGTGTTTGATATAAGAATTGTTCGTTAATTTTTCATGTGTTGAAGTTCATTTAAAGGACAAAAGCATGACGTCTTCTTTTATGGTATCCTCTGATATTTCTTGTTAATCAAAGAGACTGAAGATACCTGGGGTGAAGCTCCCTGGATAATTACCATCAGAGTGACAAATAAAAAAAAAATTAACTCTTTTTCAAAGTGCATTCCTCTGTTTACTTATATAAAAACTGTGCTTCAAAGTTAATGATTTTGCAAAAGAAGTTTATTTATAACTGAAGGAGATGGGCGAACATAGCGTGCAGAAAGCCTACAGCTTCAAATATAGGAAAATCATGTTCAATTTGTGAATTTAGTATTTAGAGTAAAGTTCCCATTATTGAAATTTATGAAATTATGATAAACAAAACTTTTCTGAGGAAATTTTTCTCGGCAAAATTTATTCTTTAAAAAAAAAAAAATAATGTGGTATTCGTGGGGTTCGAACCCAAGCAATAAAAACCCTGAGTGTCATTTTCTTTCGAGACTAGTGCGCTAACCACTAGACTACACAAGTCCTGATGAGTAGTGGTATTTAAATCATGTTTGTGATATGACCCTTGACTTAATGGACTTCAAGTATTTCTCGAAAAGATGCGAATGTTATGTCATAAAAGTGTATTTTTAAGGTATAGTGGGTCTTCGCTCCATATTTTTGGAAACCAAAAAATATATATTTTTATGCAAACTTCGAGGATTAGCTTTCAAAAAAATGGAACGAAGACCCACTCGTATCGAAAAATAATGTTACAGTATAAGGAAATGACTCTTTTTGCCATCTTTAGTGTGTGTACAATATTTCATAAGCGAATAATTTCAATCTTTGTGAGATTTTTGCAAATTGTAGAGATTTTACATAGAGTATATTTTAATGTTAGATTAAATGTCAATGAAAATTTTGATATAATTGAGATCTAATTTTTCACCTTCATGTTTGTCACACTATAGGCTATTCGCTCGTCATGTTCACCCATCTTCTTTACACAATATCATTCATACTTGAACAGAAATGGCCCTTAAATTTGATAATTTAAGAAGAGAATGACATTCACTTATCTTCTTCAATAAGAAGATCGATTGACCTTAATATCCCCATAATCTGAATGGATAAATCATTTAACCGACAAATCGATTAGAATTTTAAATGTGCAATTTTGTGCTGAAAAACTGGTTTTGGCGTTCTTTCAGCCTTAGTGTTGCCAAGGATACCAACATGACTTGCGAAATTAACGATGAAAAGGTTAATCAGATGCAAGGGCTGGGTGTTTTCTTCTTTGTATTTTATCATTACCGAGAAATTCAAAATGAAATTAGAAAACGTGATTTTATAGGTTATCGACATACAAATAATGAGGTTCATTTTCTGATGCTTCAATATCTTTCAAGAATTGTGCATTTGAATTATAATTGTCATAGTTAGATCCTTGATGAGATTTTAAGCTCTAATTACATTTGGATGTAGTAATGAAGATTATGGCCTATTACTACCTTTTCTGAAATTGTCGTTAAATCCTGCATAAAGAAGCGGATTAATGGCACTGTTGGAGAATGCAAGAACTTGGGCAATGTAATAAAAGTCCTCAAATCCATCCCATAGCTGGAACAAATTAAGATTATATATATTATATCTAGTGAAAGGATTCCCTTTCTATTGAGAAATCGAGAAAACCTGGATTGGCTTACCGTATCACTTAGAGGTTTATATTCCGAGTATAAAACTGCCAATTGTAACGGCATCCAACACAACCCAAATACCGCCAGGATAAAAACTAACATAATGACAACCTACAAAATAGCAATTATACGTGTAGGTAAACTCTGGATAATCGCATTCATTAAGAGTTTATTTAAAATTTTATTTTTAACTAGTATTTGGAATTAAAATAATCATAAACTAACTAGGGTGAGGCATATTTGTACGGACAGAGTATTTGTCAATGGCTTGTAATTTGAAACAAAGAATATGGAAGTCTCGCATTGAGAACTAAGCACTATGTTATGAATGTTAAAAAAACTACAGTTTACTTGGACTTATGATTAATCAAAAAAAAAAAAATAATAATAAAAAATACAGCAGTATTGAAATCAAAACATGGCAAACTTCACACTCAAAAGCATCTTGGATCTAAGATCCAACAAATCAGTTGGTTTTCACGGTTTGTCATTTTTAATAGGCTGGGAATGTGTACGCGAAGTTAACTTATGAATAAGCCAGGAAAATATCTTTAAAAACGCAAGGCTTCATCACCGGTGCTTCTAGTAAGGAAAGGAACAGCTAGAAATGGTTTATATATATTCTCTATTAATTATGAATAAATGTATCGAAATCTTGAAATACAATTTGCCAGCGTGGATTCCTGGAAAAAAAGTAAGTATCCTGAAAGAAAAATGGGCATTGCTGTAGATATTGTACCACGTAGCTTCAACTCCAACCGTGATCACGACAAATTAACGTCGGTAATACTATAAACACTCCTATTTGATTTCAGGTTCCGAATAATTAAAAAGAGTAAAGGATATTAACAGATTTTATCTATAACATATCTAACAGACCGGACACGGTCCTAGTGGTAGTGCACGTGGTAGGGCATCCGCTTCGTGATCGAGAGGCCCGGGTTCAATTTTCGTTCGCCGAGCCGCGTCAAAACCCAAGACGTAAACAGAGATAGTGACTGTCCCTTCACCAAGCGCCTGGTCGTATAAACCGAGGTCCCGTGTCACGGTAGGCGCTGGCACGATAAAAAAAAAACCCTCACTGCTCAATGACCTTGAGTATAGGTCTAAAAATGAAGTCTTTCATTGGTATACGGTGATGTCTCTCTACAAGTGAAAAATTCTCGAATGGAACGTAAAACAACATTCTATTAATCGAAAGCATGAATTAAATTTATTACAGCTGATTCCCCCTGACTTAACCGTGATCGAATTTTAAAATAAGACCATACTCGTATATTACATCGTGATACGATAAGCATCCGATTGTACAGATTTATCTATTATATAATTAAGGATTAGCCGTTATAAAATTCTTTACGCAAAGTTCGAGTTCTTTGACGCAAAAATAAACCACTCCAATGTTAAGCTTTAAATACTTGTGAATTTTTTGGCTTAATTACGTGTACAAATAAAAGGTGGAAAAAAGATATTCAGTAAAGTGTGAAAACAGACAATATTTGTTTTTGTGGATAAACGCAAAATTATACTCTACAAGTATCAGCATTAACTACTAATGGATAGTGATGCAGTGTAAAGAAGTTTATCCTAGGGGTCGCCTTGTCTGCTACCTCGTAATTCAACTCGACAATGCTTTCATAGCCTTGAAAATTCAATTTCTGAATGATTTGTGTCTTAAATTGAGACATAAACTGTCAGTGATTTTTCTTGACAGTAACTTTGTTACCAATTCGACTTGTCAGGCATTTAGACTTGATTTTGATTCGTTACACTTAGTAAATATTGAAAAAAAAAATATCACTTTCTTTATACGACTGTTTGTTGATTTTGTTTAAAGTGATATAACCTGAAAACTTGAGTTTTTTAGGTTTAGAAAAAAAAATATTTAGCAGTCGAGTATTTGTCCATCTTGGCCAAAGTTATGTTAATATTGATAATAAAAATATTTAAAATCCTAAAATCTCATGAAAAGAATATAGAAATCAAGTTAACTAAGATATCACATGCATTATAGCCAAGAACACACGTATTGAAGCAAAACTGTGCATTACATATGTAGCTCTAGGTTACATTAAATTTATTAAGGAAAGAAAACAATTAAAAACCGATTTCACAAAACAACAGAGCATGGTTGTCCAGCAAGTTTTATCTATGCCACGTCTGGATCATAGATATTATTTAAATTTTATATACAGGCATACAAAACTGTTTGAATTCTTTTCGTTAAAGTAAAATTCTGAATGACTTTCACCAGGAAGTTATCTGTGCTATTGGTGAATGGAGTATTTCAGATATATTTAATTTTCAACCATAACGCCCACAATGCTCCAAGGTATTTGGCTAATACATTCTGGGTTTGTTTTCATTCTTACTTCCAACCAGATTCAGTAAAGTGTGTCGTACTTTTGGTGCCGCCGTCTATTGCTGTATTTGATACTTTTTGAATATGTTGGACCTTTGTCGCCATTTGCATTATAAGGCCCGTTATTATTTCTTTAAATATTTTAACCTCATTTTTTCAATAAATTTTATTGAAAAATGGTATAAAAGCTTTAAGGTTTGAAATTAATTTTACCTTTCTTTTGACTTTCGTTTGTATATTAACGTCTTTCGTCGTTCTTTCACCGGGTGCTTTAGAAGTCCACAGTGTCCTTATAACACAACAATAGGCCACAGCCATTACAACTAATGGAATGAAGTAAAGTATAAACGATATGCATGTGTAGTAGGCCACTCTGCCAGGCCGGATTTCAGCAGAGTTACCGCCCACTGCATTGAGCTCCCACGTGTCATCACACCACATTTCTCTGTAGTCTAGCCATTGTCGGCTCATCAGTTCCTTTTTCACCAACATAGGTACCCCAGCTGCTATGGATAGGATCCATATAAGTATGAGGCTGTGATAAGCTTTACGTTCTATAACGTGAGCCTTCATGGCATACACTATTCCAAAGAATCGGTCACAAGCAATCAACATAAGGGACATGATGCTGGCTACTAACGAAGTCACTGCAATCAAAAAGGCAACATTGCATGGATTTATACTAACGTTTTTGTTTTTTTATAACCCACTGAAATAAAAATATTAGGACATCAAATACTATTATCTGTTAGGTTTATTGTACATTTTCCAAAGCACATGCTTATAAATGGAAACTGGCCATTACATTCAATAATTTGAATTCATGTTCTATTACTTCTGTAGAAGCACAATGTTAAAACCTGTCTTATTCTAACCTCTAAAAATACAATTTAAATGTATATAATATAATAATCAAAATATATAGAATATTGCTATTTTAGGCTCTTTAAGTAGGACACGCAAATATGTAAATCTTGGGATCAAATTTACTTTCATCTAGAATCGTTTCCAAGAACTTGTTCAGAAGACAATGACCTTAACGAATTTACATAAAAGGTTTATTTGTATTTCTAGGTTTTCAAAACATTCTGTATGTGGGAGTCGGAATTATATTAATTTGTTTACAATTCTGTGGTAGTTTTAACCTCCTTATAATTTCGCCCTATTGATTGGTTTCTCTATTAACTGATATATTTCTCAGATACCAAAATGTTCGAGTAAACATGCCAAGGAGCCTTGATTAGCGTCTGTTAATTTGGTTAATATAAATCTGAAAAGATTATAACGGTTTCATTCTTCGACCTTCATTTTTTGAACATGAGATTTATTAAAAATATGATGAACTTTTCTATTTTTTCTTACTCAAAGATCTCAGGATGTATATTTTTTCTATATAAGGATTTTTAAAGGTTGTTTAAAAAGTGGAAATTTCACTTTGGTCGAATACATTTAATATTTCAGCTAGACATAGTTTATTCAGAATATAACTTTGGGCATTATAGCCTATCAGTATACAATAATAACATATAATTTTTAAATATTTTTTTCAATAAGTAAAACACTTAAGGAGTCTAAAAGGGGGGTGAGACCCCTGATCAAGTGTTCCTCAGTCCCAGATCTGACAGATCATCGTTACGTAATATAAGAGCATGATGGATTAATTCCCCTAAGCCAACCAGGGTACATGTAGATATGTGATGTGAACCCAATAACTGAAATAATTTAAATTTACTTGGCAACTTGTAATAATATTCACCTTATATTTTCCCCTTAAATTTAGATATCTAGGGCATTGAAGAATGGAATGAAATTCGTCTTCAATTTGATGAGTTATCATAAACATCGCATAATCTATCCTCTTCGCTCTTGTCTTGGTACCTTCCGGATCCGATATTTAAAGTATGAGACGAAAGCCTAATGCGGGAAATATGCTTTTTTAAAGTACTCTGAAAAGAATTTGTTAAACAGGGTTGCATTTGACAAAGGTTAGATTGGACGATGTGTTTAAATAAAAAGCATTTTGTCGAAATATCCATAAAATGCATCTTACTCGTGTAATGTTTTCTTTCCTCGGGGTCGAAAGTCGAACGGGAAGCATTGTGTATTCTCAGTATCAAGTTATTCATCGAAGATGTTCATATCATAAGTATCGAGAATGTGACCCTTAGGAAGAGCGATAACTCTAAATGATTAATCACTACACTTCTTTATAAAACGATATTCTTCAGGTCAAAATTTTTCCCAAAAGGGAAAGCTAAATTTGCTAAAACTCCTTTTATCTATATCTTTGTTTAGAAAAGAAAAGCGATTTTAGTGTCCAGAAGTTCGTTTTCCCCTAGGTACAAAGCAAATAACTTCTCAAAACAAAAAAAAAATTACAGTTGTCTTGAGTTTATCTCTTTTGCTTCAATATTTTATCAAAACATCACTGATTTATATTAGGCGGGTTTGGAATGCACATTACTAAAAAACAAACGAAATTGTTTTGAAAAGGCTTTACATTCATTCATTTCACAAACGCGTGTCTTTCCCTTTTCGTTTATTTTCAGTTCTAATCAATGACTAACTAGTTAGTCAGAGACTCTTCAAAATTGTTGATTAGTGAAAGACTAACTATCTAAACACAGATGTATATATAATTTATATGTATAAGTTTTTCAAATACAATCAGACTTTTCCTGTTGAAATCACGAAAAGAGAAGTAGATGGGATAGCCAGGCACTTGATGACAGCATCAGCTAACGAAGGAAATTTGTTTTATCTGCTGGTATTCTACAATGCATTTGTACTAGGATATGTTTACAGTTAAAAGAGTTCATTTGTGGTTAAGGAGATATTGTTAAAATGATTTAAAGATTCCAACTCTTGTCCTGGTTATTCTAGCTCCAAAACTTACATATTAAAGACTAACACTAAATTATATTGACGGTTAATGATAATTAATATTAAAAACAGTCTATGAAATAAAATATTATTTAACTTGAAATAAGAATATTATATCGCAAAAAAATGAGAAAGTGACCCCCCCCCCCAAATAAAAATAAAAGTTAAAACATTAAAATTGATGAGCTTTGGAAAATAAACACATCATTAAAATATTTTAAAGAGTAATAAATCCCTTTCAATAATGAATTTTACTTTCAAAATTAAATTTTATGGTTGAAAACAAACAAAAAGATTCTCTCTCTTTCAGATCAAAAAGAATCAAAAACTGAGATAAAATCAAATTGGTATTTTTTATCCAGAATATCAAATAAACAAATAACACAGTATGAAATTTTTTTGCACTGTATTTTTACCCCCAGAAAAGACTTACAAAATTCAGATAAACGTTTAAATCTGTGTGTTACAGATCACGCTGGTTTAGATGAAATTGACTGTTTTTCCTATGTGTTTGGCAAAGAATCACCAACGTCCTCTTCAGACTATATATATATTGAAATGCTAGTGTCAGTTTTTTCCTCTCTTTTTTGGATTTTATCTTAATGACAGTTTTATGTTACAATGATTAAATTTTGTATTGCCGAGTACATTTTACAAAAGCAGTTACATGCGTGTGAATTTAAAGTAGATTTGTATCATACAGTTGTCTAATTTCATCAAGTAGGTAAAAACCCACGGGAATGACAGTGTAGTACATACATTTAACGTTATAATAGAATCGTATCCTGTTGATTGATTTTTTTCTGGGACGATAAATATTTCCCAACGTAACAATATCGGAGTGTGATTGCAGAAGTATTTAAACAATAACTTTTAAAATAAATGTTACTTAATTTAAAAAAACAAGTGTCAAATCTCTATCATCATGAAGTTGAAATAAGCAGTTTCATATAAATTAACCCACCTTGGGCAAAAGCATTAAATTTGCAGAAAAAAGATCCAAGAATCCACCCATCTGTCAGATCGTCCACAGTGCTCACCCAGTAACAGGAAAACGTCACGAGCAAGTCTGCCACTGCAAGGTTCACGATATAGAAATTTGTGGTAGTTCGAAGCCGTTTGTTATAAGCCACCACCAAAATCACGAGAAAGTTTCCAATCAAAGACACCACAGTCGTAATTGTACATGCTACTATTTTAATCAAAGCCTCTGCAAATGGAACTGATTTTTTCTCCTTTGGGTATGGAATCTGCGATAAATCGTAGTCAAAATTATAGTCATAGTAGGATCCGTCATAACCAGTGTAGTGATGAAGCAAGTATGAAACGTTCACCCCTGTATTATTTTCTGTTAGTTCGCTGGTAATGTTAAATCCTGTGTTGTTTAATTCTCCAAATTCTGAATATAAAGAACCCCTAAAATGCGACATTCCAATAGAAAAACAGTACCGTATACGGTATCTTTTATTTTATATATGAATACACTTTGATCCAGTTTACTTAAATATATCGCACGTCATAATGAACAGAAGTATATAACATGACGCTATTGATGCTGGTAACGTTATGAAGACCGCTGAAACAGGTAGCGGTTAATAAGCCAAGGGGTCTGTCACACGTATCGTTTGCTGCAGTCTAGATATCGATGCGTGAACAACTTATTGGAAAAAAAATTGTTGATGCAATAATTATACAGTCTCTGTTAAGTCGTACTTAACACGATTTGTAGGTATGTGTTTATTACGCTTTCCGTACATATTATTGACGACTACCACAAGAAAAACACTACAATCCTCTTTCCTGCTCTGGGTTCCCCATTCCATAGATCACAATGATTTTTTTTTACTAATTATTTCATGGTGTGTAGGTGATTGAGTATCCACTTACAACTTAGTTTTCCTAGATAAAATATGTTATGCAGAATTAGGGACAGTTTTCACACAGTTTGAGGAATATCGGTTATTACTAACAGGACAACGGAGGGAAGGCCGCTTGCAGGGAAGCTGCCTTTCAAACACAAAATTTATGTTATGTTTTGCAAAAACTAATTTAACTTGGACGAAATACAAATGTTGTAATTTTCTATGAATAATCTTGACATTGATCCATATCCACGTGACGGAAAGTTATCAAATGTAATCTAAATGAAAATAAATTTATCCAATTATGAAAACTGTCATTTACGAGTCTGTTAACTAATAATCATAACAACTTGGGCCAAAAATTCTGATCGTACAAATGTGACATTGAGAAGAGGTTACCGAGTATTCTGATAACAGGATTTGATTTGATAGGTATTCCGGAAAGAAAGTAAACTACCAAATTAAAAAAATAAAACTACAGTCGTTATTAAACTGAAAAAATTTCGATATTCAAATGTGACATTGACCTTGGTGGACTTATAAAAAGTTAAGACTGGAAAAGAAAACAAAAGAACTATGGCTGTTCATAAATATTGCTGAGGGTATGGAATAATCAGCGATGTAAAACATAGGTAACGTCATGCAATACAGAGTTTAATTCATGACGTTATTGTGCGTGTTGCACTGAAAACATTTACATTTTGCATATGCCTTGCTGATTTCTCTGTTCACTTTTGCACTTCGGTTGTGGGTTCACTGCTCTTCAGTGTACAGTTAAACGTTTCTGGCATTATTTGTATTACCCACCCTAATATATTCATGGAAGGCTTTCGTTTGGGAAAAAATGCCGCCCGAGTGTCCCGCTAGTCTTTTGAGCATCGGGAATGCTCTTGTGCAACTTTAATCATACACAAAGTGAACGCTGATTAATATTCCGACTTTACTATTCCGACTTTAATATGGCTGTCGTGAGAACATCGTTCATAAAGAAGAAAGAAACAGCATATCCAATTGATACAAAAAAAATCCTTACTTACTTTCCACACAGGAATGCAGCTTCAATGAACAAAGTAAATTAACATGAGTCAGATAATAATATTATTGATTTTCAATGGGAAAAGCTGATTTATTTATCTCTCAAATGATAAATAGAAATAGTTTTTGATTACGCGAAAGAGTGTTTTCAGCAAAGACAAATTCCTTTAGATGGGTCCACAGGGGTGGATAAACTGGTTTCTCCAGTGCGTTTTGCAAACTGGATATAATGTAACAAAATAATATCTGTTGATTGGAAAATAAATCAGGAAATTGTACTGATTTCCTCAGATCTCCTTTCACAGAAGAAACTCTCATGATGGAGAGATTTTGATCAAAGAATTTATTGTCCATTGCTTTGAATTAAAGATTTTTTTTCTATTTGTGTTAGGTATTTTATTGGAGAAATTTCTCTCAAAGTAGACTAGAGTGATAGAATTGTTCACTTTGAAATCAGTGCGTAGTAGAAAAATAAAAATATAAAATACAGCATCAACATACAAGCTTTTGATAGTGATTATTTCTATTTAATACCGTTCAAGTAAAATTTTTAAAAAATCAGTGAAACTATTAATTTTTTTTAATACATAGGCCCAATTAATTTGATTTTAACTTCAGTATAACTACCAACACTTGATGTGTTCCCGTTAACAAATTAACAAATTTTACGGCTATATATTATTCACATAATTTGATGTGTTCCAATAACTTATTGAATCATCGGAAAAGGCTCATAACGATGGGATATGTAGCGCTATCGAACTGGAAAGAATCCACACATCATCCTAGAACATCGGATACTTTGTCTATTCCAAGAGAAAACACGAATCAACAGAGGAACGTGCCCACGGACACGGAAAAAGGTCGACAAATACAAACCCTCTCCTGGAGTGCTGTGTACACAGAGGGTTAGGGCTAGGGATAAAGAAAGGAAATAAAACCACATGGCTTTAACAACATCCAAGAAACCTTTATATGTAAAGATATCTCAAAACAATTAACGTCAAGCTGGCATCAATATGTGAACTTTTAATTATGTCCCAAAAATTATCTAATGTGTATATCGGAGTTTTACTACATGTGAAAGCAGTGATAAAAGCATTGAGTTATTAATTGAAGCAAACAAATTTTGTTAAAACTGATATTGAAATACCTCAAGTCAATATTTTATTTAATCAAAACGACATTTTGTACTCCACCAATGAAAAAATAAAGTTCATAAACACAAGTTAATCTCATCCCCACAACAACTTGCAATATAAGCCCTGCTAGCTGATTCATTGTTAAGAAATTCAGCAAAAATGCATGTACATGTATGTTATTTAGTGGTTTTTAACATCATTTTCATTTTGAAGTTCAAAATGCAGAAGCAGACAATTTCTGCAGATATTTTAAAAATTTTAAGAAATCTGATTTCAGTTGTAAACTAGCATAGGTACAAGAAGTAAATTTAAATAACATGATGCTATTAACCTGCATCTAGAAATAAAGGTTTCTTGGCAGTGTTAAAAAAAAAAAACAATTCTAACATGACCGTAAGTCCCTGTTGAGACTAGTTTGTACTTAATATTGGAAGAAGAATAGGTGCATCTGGACTTTCTTTTTGTTTTACATTTACAATGTGTATATTGATCGGTGTTGAATTTGTTTCTTAAGCCTTATTGAAATTAAAAATATATATATCTATAAAGAAGTAAATAATAAATGAAAAACTATTTTGAAAATAAAATGAAAAAATAAAACAAACGTACAATCTATTTGAAAAAAAAGTACTACCTTTTGATGTACAATGGCTATAGTAAAATAAGGTGTGTTTTTGAAACACTGATGCCTCCTTATGGCAGCTTATGGCGAAGGTAAAAGTTTCTCAAATGCAAGTCAAACTCCAGGTCAAGAAATCAAAAATGTTGGTACTCAAAGGAAGGTTTCATCTCAGGAAAAATACTTGTGAAATAAGAAACCACTAGCACCTACAGTTGAGGAGTTATGGGGAAGGTTGAAGTTTTTCAAAAGCAAGTCAAACGTCAAAGTCAAAATTAATGGTGCCGAAGGGATGGACTTGTCACGAGAAATACACATTTGAAATACGAAAGCCACAGCACCAACTATTCTAAAGTTATGGACAAGGTTAAAGTTTTTCAAAAGAAGGTCAGACTCCAAGGTAAAGTCAAAATTGTTGGTACCCAAGGTAAGGTGTTGTCGCAAGAAATACGCATGTGAAATATGAAAGCCCTAGCGAAGTTTGGTAAAATTTTGCAAATGAGTCAAACTTAAAGGCCAATGGGTTAAATATAATGGTATCCAAAGAAAGCGTCTTTTCTCAAGGAAAACATGTGAAATATGACAGCCATAGCTCCAACCAATCATAAGTTATGGGCAAGGTGGATAAAGCTTTTGCGGACAAACAGACCGACGGAAGACAGGACATAAACTATATGCCCTCGAATCTTCGATTACCGGGGGGGGGGGATGCAATCTTGTTATATCCACTTTCTACAGAAAAAATGGATATATTGTTATCTTTCACACATCTTTTTCTTAGAGCTCTTTTAACATTTTTATGAGCAACAACCAATTCATCTTTTGAAATATGATAGATGCAGATCTCTATCTCTCCGAAAAAATATATTGACAGATTGTAAATTTATAATGGAAATCATTTTCATTGTGATCTATAATTCAAGATCAGACATCTGATTCAACCGCCGATGCTTCCAGGACTGTGTCTTTGACCTATTCTTCTATTTTGTAATATTCATAGAATATAAGAGATTGATCATTTGTCATATTAATCTTTCACATCATTATAAAATAATGGAACTAACAACTTTCATCCCTAAAGTATCTTGATCATCAAATGAAAACATATTCTTCATTTTCCAAGTTTTTAACTATTTCTGTAGTCTTGCATGTAATTTCTCTGGATCCTTGATTGCTACTATTTGCTCAAAATAATGAAAACCAGTATGATGTCTGTCACCTTTGACTGTAAATAAATCTTCTCTGTATTTTCTCACGGATAAATTTCTTGATTTTGGTTCCTGAGGTGCCATCTGATGGTGCAGCCTTGGGGATGTTATCCTTGACTACCTCTGAGTAGAATATTATCTCAACGGCTTTACCTATGCTCCCACAATCTTGCTGCACCTGGACACTTGAGTATCTGTGTACTGGCCATGACAGTTTTTTTAGGTTTGCTGTAAATACAGAATAATGCTCTAACAATTAAATATTAGAGATTTATAGTTTTTCAATGAATATCAATGGAATTACTGTTTTAAAACAACTTGCACTTTAATTCATCATTTAGAAATTCATTTACAAGATCCATAGCAATATTGTGTCCAGGCTTGCCCACCAAATTGGCAGTGCTATTCCAAATCACTTCCTTTCTAAGTCTTGGAGGCAAACATCGACTCACATCTTTTAAACAAATGAATAGAACTATTCAATATTAAATTTTAGCTGATATTTTATTTGAAATTTATTGAGCATAGGAAATTTCATTAAAAACTAAAAATATTTAATGTGGGGTACCTGCTAATAATCTGTGTCCCAAAATGAGGTCCTTATTGTGATTCTTGTCCCAGAATTCAAACGTCCCTCTCGAGAATTTTTCACTCATATGGAGATGCCACCTCTTGCTGGTGGAGAGCTGCAAATTTTGTACTAGGCACTCGGAACTATTGAGCAGTGAGGGACGTTTTTCGTGCAAGCACCTACTACGACACGGGACTTCGGTTTATACGGTCTACGGTCTCATCCGAAGAACCGGTCTCCACGTCCCACAGTGGGATTCAAACCCGCTACGTAAGGATCAACTCCTTACTCCGCGACTATAAAGCGAACGCTCTAACCACTACGCCACGCGGGCGACCTGGGCCGGGATTCATAAAACTTCTTAGTATATTCTTAAGTTTACAAAAAAGTATTTAAGTATTGACTTAAAGTTAAGTGTCCTCAGGAGGTGTCTTAAGTATATAAGAAATACTTAAGTTTTTTTTATCAAAATGAAAATAATGTTTTACAGAAGACATTTTAATCTTTCAGTAAGAAATCATGCTATTACATCCAGCTAGAAACTTGTTTTGACTTTGAGATATTTATCAACTGGTAAGATGCAGTATTGTGAACTGTTGATGACAAAGCTGTATCAGTTGTGATGTAATACTCATGGAACTGAATACCTCCATCACAAAAGAGTGCGCTTTTTGTTCGGGAAATTGTATGCGTTGCTAGGGTGACCTAACTTAAGTGCTCTAATTTTCTCAGAACTAAACTTAGCTAAAAATTGCACTTAGAATTTATATGAATATGACTTAAGAATTTTTTCTTAGCTAAGAATTTATTTTATACTTCAGTGTGAAACTTAGCACAAATCTTAAGTATGTTTATGAATCCCAGCCCTGATGTTTAGAGGTCCGTGTTTGCTTTGCTCCAAAATTTGTATTGTTAAATGGACTTCTGAGCTTGAATATTGTTCGTTATCTCCATACATTTCATTCTTATTAGCATGGCAATGACTTAAGTAATTTAAATTTTGCTTGGAAGTTACCCTGTGATGAGGAGGCATGAAAGAGCTTCAAATTATGGAGCAGTTTAGTTTATAATAAGAAAACATTCCATTTTTTCTACATGACAGATGGAATCAAGAGTTCATAAACAGGTTTACAAAAACTGGTCCTAAACCGGGAATTCTCAGGGATATTTTCAGATTTCTCACAAAAGGACAATCTGTACCAGAATCCCTTGAACAACGTCAAGTTGACCAGAGTGTTTTCAAATTTTTACTTGAAGCTGATGATCCTGACTTACTATACGATCTCCGAAAAAGCAATGGGAATCCAAATTGTGAAGATCTAGAATCATATTGTCAAGAAGTGGACAGATTTCTTGAAGAACTAGCTATAGTTCATATGCGCAGATATTGAGACCATCTTATATGCCATTTACTATATCAGTATCTGATCCACAGGCACTTGTTTTGAAGGATAAAACCAGAGACCTCGGAATGGAAAACTTGGAAGTCTCTGGTTTATCCTACATTTATAACCCCAACCGGAATCTTTGTATCCCATCTTAAGTCTTATTATGTATCGAGGTAATTTTCGAGGAATAAATGAGTGGTTTACTATAAAGAGGCTCGATCAGAAACGTCTGAAACGATTTATTTGACAAGAAAAAAAGTCTCTCGAAGCGAACGATGTCATTTTAAAGTAGGTTCCACGTGTGTGCGCCCCCATAACAAATCACTTGCAGTGCATAGAGCTTCACTTTCTGCATTGGATCACGACTTCTATACTTGTGGAATTGCGCCCTCTGTTTGTTCCATGTGAACATTCCAGACGTCGTGATAGCTTTTATGGTGGTAAGGTACGTTACCCTCAAAGACAAGATATTCCAGCCTTCTTCTGCTATTCGTCATCCCACAGAATCAATTTCAATTCTTCGAGGTATTTCATCTGACATCAATCTAGATGTTCCTCTGCTTTTTGTCTTCACTGATGGCTCAGACCACCGATCTACATTTTGGAGTGTACACTTTCAAGAATTTTGACCTTTATAGATTTAGATATGCTTGTGACTACATGAACTGCACCAATGGCTAGTTATCAAAATCCAGCAGAGAGCTACTGAGCTGGCTCAACTTAGGGCTTCAAAACACCTCTTTACATAGACCAGAAATGTTAGAGGATTTTGAAAACAAAATGAAAAGAAATTGTCCACTACAGATGGTAAGAAACCAAAGTGAAAAGCAACCTGAATTCAAAACAGCACTCCTTGCGTCTACTGGTAAGTTATTTCCTCCCTGAAAGCAAGGCTTGGCCGTTTGAAGTGGAAAGATAATGAAGTGAAAATGCATGATGCTGCACAGGAAGCTGATGTAGAAGAAATACAAAATCTTGTCAGAATCCTTGAATGTGCTGAAGAGGGGATTTTTTTAAAAACTGAAGAAAAAAAGCTTCTGTGTCCAGTTTCAAATGTTTTAAAAACTTTGTGACCAATTATACCCGACAAAGGCAATGCACATTTCAAATTAAGAAATGTGGAAATTGTCCGTACTGTGTCTTGAACCCAATTCGAATGCCAGAGAACTTTACAAAATTACACTGGTTACTTGACCCAGTTACAGTCGAAGGAAGTGTAGATGAGTACAAAAGTTTTGATGAAGTTTATGGCAGCGAGACCGATGATTTTTCAAGGCCAAGTTTGAAAAGCAAACCTCAACCTACAGAGGCAGACATGAAGCGTAAAGGGGGATTTGTGGCTGCTAAAGCTAGGTCTTTCATCCTTTGCAAAGAGTGTGGAAAGAGGAGAGAAGTGTATGGAAGTAAAAATCTTACTATGACACAGACAAAATCTATATAGCGACTTGAAGAAGAGTTAGCTTATGTATGTGGGGCACCAGTGTTTTCTGACAGTCCTTTTAAGGATGTGCTATACGGTGTACGTTAAAGAGGCTCTGATATGGAACTCACTTATTCAGAAATTTTTGGAAAGAATCCTCCAGTGTGTTTTTCTGTGGAGACACGGAAATTACAGAAAATGATATCATCAGAGATATGAAAAAGGAATATGGTATTGTAAGACCAATCTGCAAAACCTGTTTTTATCAAGGGAAGCGTTCAGCTGTTCGCAATTCTCAAAGAGCAACTTCCAAAACAAACACTACTATGCCTTTACTATATGAAAGTACAACTATTTTATTAACATTTCGTATTTGCCTGCAATTACTTGGCATTGGTTATGGTAGCTTTTTGTCAGAAAAAACATCCTGTCATTAATAGCCAAATAGGATCATATTTCCCTCTTTAATTACTTTCAATTTCTACATGATGAAGATATTGCAAACATGTAATTGTTAATTGTTCTATACAACCTATACTAAAATTCCTAAAGTTCATAAAACTTTGGAGAGATTCGTGAGATTCGTAATCTACAGAATTATCTTGTAAAAATCACTCCAATACAAGTACTTGATAGTACTTGATAAGTTGATATAAAAATGATGGAGTTCTTCATCTATGTAGTCTTTAGAGACCAGGAATTGCTTTTTAATTCTCCTTCACTCAGTCCTTGTATAAAATATTTATAGACGAGCTGATCGCCATCCAGGGGATCAGAATGATCGTATCTGCTCCTGCCATTTTAAGGATGGTGTGAAGGAGGGGGATCCTGCATATTTTGCATGGAATGAAGGAAAGGCTATGGATTTCTCTGATCCTGAATGTACCAAAAGGTGAAATTATTTTTCAAAATATGACATCTTTGTTTTGGATGGTGGGTGGGATTTAATTGAGAATATTTTACTAAAAATCTTAAATAGGGTATCAACAGAGTAGCTTACAAGTTACAACTGAATGAAAAATAATCCGAGTTTAATTATTTTACAAAGGAGGAAAAAAATCAGAAGTGAGGAGTCTCTATCATCTTCACAGATGGACCAGCTGCAGATTACACATGTGACAGAATGTCAAGATCAAGAGAAGGTAAAGCTCCTTTAAAACACCATTGATGACAAATGGCCAGCATAAAAACATTTTCAATAATTTTTAATAATATAATAGTTTTCTTAATTGTAGATTGAATTACTCATGATTCACAGTATATTTCCAATTATATTTTTCAGTTGATATCAGAGCACAACTACTCAGCATCCTGCACATTTAACTGTACTCAAGAAATGCAGCGTCTCTCAACAGAAATAGAACACCTGGAAAAGGAATTACATGCGCTTAGATTAGAGTCTAGTAAAAGGAATGCCAATGTCAATTCACGATATTAAGGACAGTGAAGAGAAGGTACATGAAGTAATTCCAATTATGGTTTCCTATTTCCTAACAATTTCAATTAAACTTGTTGCGAAGTGCCATTGAGGGATGAACAACTTTGATTGATTGTAAATATATTTTGTTATTACCGTTGAGTTCATAATATACATAATTTAAAATGATAGGAAAGAAAAATCATTTCACTGTGAGGGTGAATAACATCAAAAGCATATTTTGCATTAACCTTGTTTTACTGTATGATAACAGTTATCAGAACTCTTAATTTAGATTCACAATTTTTAAGTTTGCTTGATAGTTGAAGGCATTTTACCTGTAATTAAGATTGTGTGGTCATTCTACAATAATCATTTTTTCCACTAGGGATAATTTCAATCTCTCTGTCTCATATTACCAGTTTTAAATGAATGCATAATGTGGATGGTAGTAAACCTGACTGAGACTGATATTGTTATTACTTGAAACTAATTTATCTACAATCTTTAAAGTTCTTAGATTTATTTTAATCAGTAAAATATATTTATTTTCAGATGCTTTTATATACATCCCTACAGTATGACATATTTGAAATCTTAGTCAGATTGTTACAACGGTTTGAACTCGATTACTATAATGGCTGGACTCCTTCAATGGAAACAGAGGACCAACTACTTATTGTACTGATGAAGTTAAAACTCAATCTTCGGGACATTGACTTGGCCCATAGATTGTGTGTCAGTCGACCAACAATTTCGAACATCTTCCATAACCTTGTTCATGCACTACACGACTAGTCAATGAATGTTTTCCAAGTCAACTTATATGCAAAGGTTTGTTTTAAAACTTATCATAATGACTTCCAAAAATTTAATGCATTTAAAATTCTTGTATACTTGGAAGTTTTACTGTAACACATTTTTTTTTTACACAATTACAAATCATTGGGTTAATTTTTTTCCAACTTTTTTTCAGGGTCTATGCCAAAATCTTTTGAGGATTTCTCCTCTGCTAGAGCTTCCATGGATGCAATTGAAACTACCCAGGACATCCCAACACATATGGACAGTCAGGCCATGGCCTACAGTACCTACAAAAGTCGACATACTGTTAAAGCAGTGACTTGTGTGGCTCCAAACGGTGCACTTACATTTTGCTCTAAGCTGTATCCAGGTTCTACTTCTGATGTAGCTATTGTACGCCACAGCCAAGGCCTACAAAAGTTTAAAGCTGGAGACCTTATTTTGGCCGACAAAGGTTTCACCAATCATGATCAGTTGCCCCAAGGTGTCTGTTTAAATATACCAGCTTTTTTATCGACACGAGGCCAGTTTACCAAACAAGAAGCAGCACTGTGTTACAAGATTGCTAAAGCATGCATTCATGTGGAAAGAGCCAACGAGAGGATAAAGAACTATGAGATTCTTCGTCACATCCCATCTACCTACAGACCAATCTCAACAAAAATATTTCAACTCTGTTCTTGTCTTGTAATCTTGCAAGCTCCACTTTTGAAAGAAATTGCTTAAAGAATTACATATTATAAATCTGCATTGGTTTTTGACAGTCTGCTACATTATACATCACTACAGTAAAAATGTTCATACCAAAGTGCCAGGGATAAACAAATTTTGATTTGTTATCAATGTCAATGATTATTTTAGTCAAGTTCATAGTATGTTTTAATACTACAGGGAATGAAAATCCCTTTGTTAGCATGAATTTATTACAAGGGTGTTTGCTGTAACTATATTTTACTATATAATTTGGAAGAGGGTCTGCTTAAAATTTTAATTGTTGAGTTTCAAGTAAATGTACCTTAAAAGCACAAATCAACAGCTTAGTATTACATTCAACAATTTATCTAACAATGATAAAAAATGTTACATTTCCACATTGAGAATAACATCTTCAATTCATTAATAAAATGATGATAAATTTTATTATTTTTTATCTGTAGTACATGATTAAATTAAACACCATTGCTATTTAAAATACTCTTATAAGCCAGAAGTTTTCTGATGAATTGTGATATATCACATCATACAAGAATAACTGGAATTTTCAACACATTTAAGATGAATTACTCGTTTTGCACAGTGAGAAAATTCTAGAGATACAGAAACAAGTGTCAAAATACATGAGAAACCAGAACTCAGTTTTCCATCAGTGCTGGAATGAAAATGTTAAAGTAGAAATCTACTAGCTTTGAAACATTTGCAGTCCATTCAATGTCTTTTACTATTCTAATCACAATGCAGTCTACTCTTGTCCACACAATTAAGTCGCAGCATGTTTTATTACATATGTGTAGCTGGCCTTGAATTTGATGATAGTATGGGTGACTGGTTTTCAGGCACAGGGAATCTTGTTTAATATCTAAAAATCAAAAACTCTTTTAATGTTGTGTTATGCCTATTCATATCCCCTCCCTTTTCCATCTCTTCATACTATGTTGAACGGTTGCACTTGTAAATTAATACATGTATCCATTGTGATCATTTACTCATCTAGATTTTTAATTTTAAAGTAATGAACAAAACAGATTTTTAAATCCAACTTATAAATTATTATTTACCTATGAAGAAATCCTTCTAATTTTGTGCTGCATCTGCTACTGTTGAAGACGATGCTGTATATGGACACTTCACCTCTACAATATCAGGAATGGCATCTTTGGCCTCTGGAGTTTGATAAAATACACTGCATGTTGGTGGTCGTACAACTAAGCCATCAGGTGAAGCTCCCAACACTCCGGATTCATGCAACCATATCCCTTTCAGAAAAAAATGTAATACTACTGAATGCAAACCATAATACAATTGTAATGCACACAAAGTCTAAGTTGAGCATTTATAATCCCTTCCACTTCAAATACAGTATATCGATATGCTTGTACAGAGTGGTACTGGGGTACTTTAAGTAGATCTCTATTCTCAGCAAATTTTCTGTAATACATCGATCATTAATGAACTGAATACTTTTTTTTACAATTAGACTTCAGTATTTGATTGTCTACTTGTCACTAGGATCATTTGTTTTGACACAATGAATTTTAACATTCTGTGAGAGGTTGAAGGAATATTATTTTTTTGCTGTATACCTGATTGCTCTACAGCTGCATCAAAGTCGTTTTCATACTTTCTCAAAGTATCATCTTCATGAGTGACACCCCATGCCACAGCTTTGATGGACTCCTGATTGTAAGCCGACATAAGCCGTTTCTTCAGTGACAATGTCATTCTGAAGAAGAAGAGATGTTAACGGAAACGTACACAATAACCTTGGTACTTACCGTGACTTTATATGATGTGTTCCTCATCGAAGCTTGTACAACTGCATGGATCATTTTCGTCTCTTGGTCAAATAAAAATTTTAGAACATGGTTACTAATAACGGCGTTCTCCGACTTTCTCATCAACTTCGGTTTCTCGGCTGTATAATTCGCCCAATATTGTATCGATATAGCCATATTTGTTTGTCACCGGAAATACATCACCGGAAGTGATGCTAAACCCATAGTTTTTTTTAGATTGATCATTGTTCGTTATCTTCACCTTTTTTATTCATCTGAATAATGAAACACTATTTCAAGTACCTTTTCTTAAACCAACAATTAAGGTAATACTGGTTGCCGACAGTATACACTGCATTGTAAAGAAAAACATACATTTTGAGGTACTTTGAATCAAACAACTTTTATTACTTAAACGATTTCTCGCTGTCTCAGGTTGGATTGTGGACTTTGTGGCAGAACTTTTCATTCGCAGAAATAATTTGTGGAAACAGATTCCTGCCGAAGGAAGGACTCTAGTTATTCAAGTGCCACAGGAATGTGTCGGTAAGAGTTGAGAGCTGATTAGAAAGTCATAAATTAACACTGAAAAAAAACGTAATTTTTGGGTGCACAATGAACAGTGTAATTATGTTATTTATAAGACACGAACTCGAGATCGCAAGTCAAACAATCGAAGACTGGTATAATTTCTCACGGTAGGTTTGCACCTGTGTATTGGAAAAAGAAGCAAATCTGGAAAAAGTAAATTCCATATAGGACGAATAGTGGAAGGAGTGTGGGTCTGTGGCGGCATAGAGAGGGGATCTAAGTAGTATTTTTACGACCGTGACAGACCGCTCCAGAGAAGCATTACTTGCCATTATAAAACAGACTTCTTTTTTTTTTTTTACCAGGAACCATAATATTTTACTGTTGGAAAGTTTAAGCAGTCTATAGACCAGGGGGCTTTGGTCAACTAAAAGTAAACCGTTCGCTGAATTTTGTTGATCCTACAACTGGTGCACACAAACACGATCGAGTCAACCTGGAGAGCACTGAAAACTCGCTGCCAGGGACTATAAAATCTCTTTATACTTACTTCAGCCAGTACTGCATACGTAAAAAAATATTACAGTAAAATTCCTCTAATCCATTCCTAAAATTTCAAGAACTTATAAAAGTTCTTCTACAACCCCCAAATTCTCATCACTCAACTTACTTCCGACAAATCAAAACCTATATTGCCTAAGAAACAACATGTGCTACGGGCTCTTTTGCCTCCAAATATTAACGACGACATGAGTCTTTTAGCTATTCAAGATAGGTAGGGGTTTTTTTTTTATTGTTTTGATACTCGCATTTACATTTTTACCTAACTACTCGATAGAATGCACTTTATAGAAGCAATGGAAAATGGCGGTTTATTTACATTGAGAAACGATATGGGAAATAACCGCTCATGCGCAGTCATGCGATTCTTTGACCGACATAATAGGAACTATCTTCGATTTATACAGGAAATGCTTAATGTGTTAAAAACACCAACTTTTCGTAAATCAGAAAACGTATTATATAATTTGCAATTCTAAACTGTATAAAAGTATTGAACTACATTTAAACCTACCACTGCATTCATTTTCTTCGATAGTTAACTACCAAACAGCGTCGCCCGCGTGTCGCAGTGATTAGAGCGTTCGCTCTAGAGTCGCGGAGTAAGGAGTTGATCCTTACGTCACGGGTTCGAATCCCACTGTGGGACGTGGAGACTGGTCCTTCGGATGAGACTGTAAAAAACCGAAATAACTCTGTCAAAAAGTTTTTGATCGTCTCCAAAACAGAACTTGGCCTAGATATTCTTATGATAAATCTGTATACTAAATTTCATTGCAGAATGTGTAACCTCTGCAAAGAAAATGAACTGTAACCGTTGGTGGACCGACAGACAGTAGCAAAGCAATATGCCCTCACTTCTTCGAAGGGGGACATAAAAAAACAAAAACTATCACACAGCAATAGCTGATCACAATGCATGTGACGACTGACGTCATCATGGAAATATGAGGCATTTTTGTGCGATGAAAGGCGGATCAAGCAAGTTTTTCACTATAAAAATATGAATTTATTATTAATTAGAATATTTCTACACAGATGTTGATCGACCATTGATTCCAATGCAAAACATTTGTTATATGCCATCGTGTAATTAATACAATGTATATAACGAGTGAATTGAATTTATTCGACCGTATTTTGTGTACAAGAATGGCTAGTTGAGCATTGAGGTACCCCGTTTAATCGCCTTTTTCGCAAGAGCATGCACTATACGGATTCTGACCATTTTTTAAATATGCATGAATGAAATATTCCTCAACTTGGTGCTGCTGCTTTCGTGAAATCATGAACGTTACTTAATGAATACACAAGATACTTGGTAAAGGTCATGCATATTTCTTACTTAAAATGTTAAGTAATGAAATGCTTGTTTTATACAAAGCAGCAGCACTTTCTAGAAACTACGTGATAAGTACAAAATATTCATCAATTTAAATTTCAATTTCAATTATGGTATGCCCTTCCGATATTGAAATTTGCATATGACCTCCCATGCAGTACACATTTTATGCATGTATCAAGTGACTGTCAAATCGGTTGACCAAACTAAATTTATTTAAAAGTGGGCTTTTAATATGTAATTTCAATTCGTGTTAAACTAAAATGACAATATAATAACAAAAATAAATTTAATTAAATAAAGTATATATTTGTGCACGTCTATATTACGCTGATGTCGTCATAGTACGCCCTATCAGTAAATCTTATGCACCAGATGCGCATTCCGACGAATTGTGTCTCTTCAGTGATGCTAATGCTCCAAAATATTTCAATGAAATAAAAACTTTAAAGAGCTGAAGAAAGGGGTGCTTAAGACTGGAGCCAAAGACATGTACGTCGAGGGATCAGAGCTATGCATGAGAAAAATAATCCTTAGCTTAATTTTGAAGAAATTAATTCCTAAATTTTATCACTGCAATTAAATATATATTTTTAAGCTAGTAAGGAAGTATTTAGCTACTGGGCTGTAGAGATCCTCGGGGACTAGCAGTCCACCAGCAGAGGCCTCGGCCCAGTGCTGCGTAAGGGCTGGAGACAGTTTCTCCAACCAGTGCTCTCCTGGATGAGAAGTCTTCACCTGTGTCTCCTCCCAAGGTGCCAGTGGTCCAGTTATCTGATGTTCCAGTCCTAATAGCTCCTGCTGCTCGTTCACATC